CTTCCTTCTCCTGCCTCTTTCTCCTTCTCCCCCTTCAATTATATTATCTAAAATGCTCACCATGAGCTTGACTCACCATCAGATATTTTCTTTTTGTTAAAAAAAAAAAAATCTGATGATGAGTCCAAGCCATGGTGAGATTTGAAGAATCTAGAGGCAGCAAGATCTTTGGGACTATTCTCCTTGCTTGGACTCGTCATTAGATGTATCGTTTTCAGCATTCTCTCTATCCTTAGAGACATCCACCAAAGACGTTGAAATTCAGCAAGAATGTTTCTGAATCAAAGAACCCAAAATAGAATAGACATTCATCTTCATAAGAGTTTGCCTATGAGGAAGTGAAAAAAACCAACGACTTCCTCGAAAAAGATCAAGAGCAACTACACTGATGACAAAGAAGGTGGTGATGGTGATGATACATCCACCAAAGACCCTTTTTTTTTTTTTTTTTCCTGGCCACACTATTGCTAGAAAGACCATCTTCTACTTCTGTTTTGTTTCCGGAACTTCCTTATGCTATCTCTTTCTCCTTCTTCCCCTTAAATTTCTCCAATAAAGCTTCAACAACCTTTGGAGATTCTTCAAAAACTTATTAGGGGCTTGGACTCATCATCACAATTTTTTTTTTTTAAAGAAAAGTTTGATGATGAGTCCAAGCCGCTTCTTGAAGAAATCTGCAGAGGCTGTTGAAGCTTATCATCATTCATATAATCATCAGCATCATCACTAATATTGTCACTCTTTGAAGGAAGTCCTCGGCTTTTTTATTTTCACAGTGTCATCTTATGATGAAGATGAAGAGCGCATTTTCTGCTTTCGGTTGTTTAAAAACCTTTTTGCCCGACTTCAAGTTCTTTGGCATCTCTTTTTCTGACCATTCTCCTTGTGTGAACGGTGGACTCATCTGCATCAAGGGCTTAGACTAATTTTCAGCATCCTCACCATCCTCTGAGAGCGACTAAAAACATCTGATGAGAAGTCCAAACTCTTAATGAAGATGAGTCCAAGCAAGGAGAATGGTCAGGAAAAAGAGATGGCAAAAACCTTGAAATCCATCAAGAAATTCCAAAATCCAAAATAGAAAAGGCCTTCATCTTCATCAGGGTTTGCCTATGAGGAAGTGAAAAAACCGAAAACTTTCTCAAAAAAATCAAGAGCAACTAAACTATGACGAAGAAGGTGGTGATGGTGATGATACATCTGATGATGAGTCTAAGACCTTGAAATCCACATTTTATATTTAGCGATGATGTAAATGTTATTGTAACGTTTTTAATTAATAAAAATATACTGTTTCTTTTTCTCATCGATATGGTTTCTTTATTTACAAGCGTTAATCATAATTAGGACGAAAAGTAACGTCTTTTGATTTGCTTTAACGTTTACGTAAAGATGGTTCATTAAGACACATTTTACTTCAACGTGAGCAAAAAAATACTGTAGCCTGTAAGAGGAAAATTAAGAAAGTAGTCATCTGAAGATTTTATTCCATAAATACGAGTGAATTGGTACAATTAACCAAAATTTCTAACTCGATATTCCAAACGTAGTAAATTTTTGTACTAGTCGTTTATAAACATCTTTGTGGTATATTACTTAATTTAATATTGCTGATTAATCAAATTCGTTTTTACTGGACAATCAAAATGTAGCCATACCATAATTGACGGATCAATCTGAATATAAAATGTATAATGGGCTTAAGAAATGAGGCCCATTTAGAGTATCTCGACGGGGTTAGACACGTGGCGGAATATGAATGGAGAAGAATGATGTTACAGAAACGAAGCAATAACGGAGAGAGAAACAAGGATCTAATCAAATTCACAGTGCTTTTGTTTCTTCTCTCTGACTCTCTCACAAATAGAAACATAAAATCGTTCAAAGCTTTAAGCTCCAGATCTGTGGAACCGCCATAGCTATGGAGTTTTATAGATGTTGTAGAAGATTACAAATTCTCGGATCTGTGATTCTTCTTCTCTTTATCCATGGCGCTTACTCTTTTTACCTTCCTGGTGTTGCTCCTCAGGATTTCGAAAAGGTAAACACGTTTCAATTTTTCGATTCTTATCGATTTGGATCTGATTTAGATCTCTGGGATCTGGTTTTAGGATTGAGTTAGCGAATCGTAGTGTTGATATGCCACCGACACTTTTCGTATTCTCATTACGATCTCTTGATCTGTAATTGATGGTGTTTTGGTCTATGTAGGGAGATGAATTGAAAGTGAAAGTAAACAAGTTGACATCTATTAAGACTCAGCTTCCGTATTCGTATTACTCTCTTCCTTTTTGTCGTCCTAAGAAGATTGTCGACAGTACTGAGAATCTTGGTGAAGTGCTTCGTGGTGACCGAATCGAAAATGCTCCTTATTCGGTATATCTCTGTTTTGATTTGGAGTTGATAACATTTATGTGTTCTCTTTACTTGACTGCTAGCTAACTTGTGGAATTGGAATTTGTAGTTTAAAATGCGTGAAGCACAAATGTGTAATATTCTCGGCCGTGTTACGCTTGATGCAAAGTCTGCCAAGGCGTTCAAAGAGAAGATTGATGATGAGTATCGGGTCAACATGTAGGATATTGAATATGGATTTAATGAATAGCATGTACTCTCTCTGTTATTGTTCTTATGATGTGCTTCTGTATGTGTTTGTTAGGATCCTTGATAATCTTCCTCTAGTGGTTCCAATCGAAAGAATTGACCCGGGTCAGGGTTCTCCTTCTGTTGTGTATCAGCTAGGCTATCATGTCGGTCTTAAAGGCCAGTATGAAGGGGTAAGTAGGTTTGGGTTATTTACTATTTGCATTGCACGTTATAGCATGGTTTTCTAAGCAGTCTTTTGAGTTTACAGAGCAAAGAGCAAAAGTACTTTATGCACAATCACTTGGCATTCACTGTCCGCTATCACAGAGATATGCAGACCGATGCTGCAAGGATTGTGGGATTTGAGGTTAAACCATACAGGTGCAGTTCTTGTTAACAAATTGGACTCTTGGGATTTCCGCTATTTTTCAGTACTAATTATTATTTGCTTGATTTGCAGTGTTAAGCATGAATACGAGGGACAATGGAGTGAGAAGACCCGTTTGACTACCTGTGATCCCCACACAAAGCGCCTTGTTGTTAGCTCAGCTACCCCTCAAGAAGTCGAAAACAAGAAGGAAATTATCTTCACATATGATGTTGACTTTCAGGCAAGTTCTTGTTCGAATAATCAGTTTACCACCTGATATTTTTGTCTTAATGAGATACTATTATGTTCCTGTTCTCACTCTTTTGATTTTTGCGCTGCTGTGTTTTTAGGAAAGTGAAGTGAAGTGGGCGTCTAGATGGGATGCTTATCTTCTGATGAGTGACAATCAAATTCACTGGTTCTCTATCGTCAACTCTCTGATGATCGTCCTCTTCCTCTCTGGTATGGTGGCGATGATTATGCTAAGGACCCTTTACCGTGACATTTCACGGTACAACGAGCTTGAGACTCAAGAGGAAGCTCAAGAAGAGACTGGGTGGAAACTCGTCCATGGCGATGTTTTCAGGCCTCCAACCAATTCAGATCTTCTCTGCGTCTATGTTGGCACAGGTGTCCAGTGTTTAGGCATGGTACTTGTCACTATGATCTTCGCCATGCTCGGATTTCTATCACCTTCCAACCGTGGAGGTCTTATGACAGCCATGCTCCTTCTCTGGGTCTTCATGGGCCTCTTTGCCGGTTACGCCTCTTCACGTCTCTACAAAATGTTCAAAGGAACAGAATGGAAGAGAATTGCCTTCAGAACAGCCTTCTTGTTCCCTGCAGTCGTCTCAGCTATCTTCTTTGTCCTAAACGCTCTCATCTGGGGACAAAAATCATCCGGAGCTGTTCCCTTTGGAACAATGTTTGCTCTGATCTTCCTCTGGTTTGGAATCTCGGTCCCTCTTGTCTTTGTTGGCGCTTACCTCGGATTCAAGAAGCCACCACTCGATGACCCCGTGAAAACCAACAAAATCCCACGTCAAATCCCGGAGCAAGCTTGGTACATGAACCCAGTTTTCTCAATCCTCATTGGAGGAATCTTACCATTCGGTGCAGTCTTCATCGAGCTCTTCTTCATCCTAACATCCATCTGGCTTAACCAGTTCTACTACATCTTCGGATTCCTCTTCCTCGTCTTTGTGATCCTTATGGTCACATGCGCTGAGATCACCATTGTTCTCTGCTACTTCCAGCTTTGCAGTGAAGACTATCTCTGGTGGTGGAGGTCTTACCTCACCTCAGGCTCTTCTGCGGTCTATCTCTTCCTCTACGCAGCCTTCTATTTTTTCACAAAGCTCCAGATCACTAAGCTCGTCTCGGCCATGCTCTACTTCGGATACATGCTTATCGCCTCTTACGCGTTTTTCGTGCTGACCGGAACAATCGGGTTCTACGCTTGTCTCTGGTTCACAAGGCTCATCTATTCCTCGGTAAAGATTGATTGATTCAGAAAAACATTCAAGAAAAGAAAGAAAGAAAGAAGAAGGTAATATAGTTAATGATTTTCACAAGTTTGTTTTTGCTCAATAGGTGTCTTCTTTATTCGCTCTGGTTTTGGTTACAAGTAACAAAAGAAAGGTTTTATATGTAAACCTTTCTTTTTTTTAGAGTGTATTTTGTTTGATTTTCCCAAATGACACTTTGGATTATCTTTCTTAATTGACAATATGTGATTCTTTCATTTCTATTTATATTTTTATACTCTCTTTTAATCTTTAAGCATTTTCTTGGTTACATCAAATTCCAAGTATCTTAAAGCACTCTCTTCCCGTTAATTGCGGTTTGCGGACATCAATAAATTCTGTCTCCGACCGTTATTAAGAAAATGGATTTATATCTAATTTCTTGGAATCTGAGTCTCAATGGTAGGGACTTGACACGTTTAAAATAAACCGTTGGGACCAACAGAGAGTATTACTATGAGCTAAACATCATTCACTTCCAACGGCTAGTTTCTTCTTATAAAGACCCAATCAATTACAACAGAGCCCAAATAAGCCACAAAAATCTCTCTTTATCTCTCTCACTTTCTCTTTCTCTCTATATCTCTTACACAAACTTAATTCTAATGGCTCAGAGAACTCTTATCGAAGCTACTTTTCTATTCTTCTTCTTCTTCTTGGCTAATTTTGCATGTTGCAAAGAGATTCTCGTTGGAGGCAAAACCAGCGCCTGGAAAATCCCTTCTTCGCCTTCCGAGTCCCTAAACAAATGGGCTGAGAGTTTACGGTTTCACGTCGGCGATTCTCTCGGTGAGTTTTCTCTCATTTTCAAATTCCAAAGTCTGCTCTTTCCTTCAGAATTAAAAATTTCTAGACTCTTGTATGTGACAGTGTGGAAGTACGATGGGGAAAAGGACTCGGTTTTGCAAGTGACTAAAGAAGCATACATTAACTGTAACACCACAAACCCAGCAGCTAATTACAGCAATGGAGACACCAAAGTGAAGCTAGAGAGATCTGGTCCTTACTTCTTCATCAGCGGCTCCAAAAGCAATTGTGTTGAAGGTGAGAAGCTTCACATTGTCGTCATGTCCTCTCGTGGTGGCCACACCGGTGGTTTCTTTACCGGCTCTGCTCCTTCTCCCGCACCTTCTCCGGCTTTGGGAGCTCCTGCTGTTGCTCCTGCCACTGGTGCTGCTGCTTCTCTGACTCGCCAAGTTGGGGTTTTGGGATTTGTTGGATTATTAGGGGTTGTTTTGCTCTGATTTTAACCTGCTTTGTTCAAATTCTCTCTCTGCTATTTGATTCTTTGATCCACAAGATTTGTTGAATTCTTTTGCCTTTTGAAGATTAATGTTATTTCCGAATACAAATTCACCAACTTCAAGAGCTTTCCGAAAGCAGTTGCGAAACACAATGCAATGTACATACAGCATACACCAGAACACTAACTAGGTCCAAAATTTTTAAAACGCTATGAAAGATTAGTTGACAAAACCAACTTCTCTGCAATGGCGACGATGACGAATGCAACAACTACGATCCAGAAAATGTAGCAGCAGCTGCAAAAGATGAAGAAGAGAGTGTTGAAGGACTGAGAATTTGCAAAGTAACACGGATTCAATGTTGCACAAAGAGAACTGAGACATTGATACTATTCTGGCATGTCGAGACAGAAATGATGCTGAAGATCTCAAGACTGAAGATAAGTAACGGATGCAATGATTTACACGAAGAGAACCGAAGAAACTGATACTATTATGGTATTGACGGCTAGGAGAAATCACTACAATGAACAATACTTCCTTATTGGTCCATCCTTTATATGACTTCATAGAAAAGTGTCTCAAAGATATTAAAAATCATACCATCAGGAGAAACAAATAGATCCCTAAGGAAAACTCGTAAAGAGACTACAGTTTTCAAAAGAAATGGAAAGAAACAGTGTTTTCATTATGGGATAACAATCGATAAGTATTAGGAGATTTGCTTTCAGGTGTCAAAGATAATCAGAAGAGAACATTACCATGATATATTGGTAGTAAATCAGGCTGTACCAACTTCAACATCATCTGAACCATCAGCTGCCGCCATTAAAGGTCCCTTCAAACCATTTTCGTTGTGACCGATAATCTCACGAGCTGCCTTTTCAAGAAAGTCCTTCGCGGCTGATTGAACAGTTGATTGGTATTTCCTCTTTCTCGCAGTTGTTTCCGAATTCCTGAACCTTGATTTCTCTCCTCTACTGAGGTCTCTAATGTTTTGCTTTTGGGCTAGATTCATTTAGCAATGAATGTTAGAGAAACAAGGATATAAGTAAAAGAGAAAGGTGGAAACAAAAACTGTACAAAAGCTTACTCGATGTAAGATCAGGTAGAGAATGTTCGATGAAGCGGGTTGCTGCCTGACGGTTTAAGACAGTAGTCGGGCGCAATGGTTCTACGATAAAGAAGAGAAACAGATAAGAGATCATTTAGTAGATAAGATATTGAATTAGAGGTAGCAATTCAATGTCTCACAAAATCGAAATAGATACAAAATTTCCTAATCAGATAAACCAAACATCAATTAGACAATTTAAAAATGAAACGATGCGCATGAAAAGAAATACTTTCGAGTAACTAAGTAGAACTAGTCGGCCCATTAGTATCCGGTAGCATATCGACAAAACGGTTCTTGCCTGAAAGGCCCACGAGTCATTTCATAAAACGCAGCGCAAAAGGTTACCAATTGAGTAAACACCTTCTAAACGGAAATATATAAGCTCGTTTGATAAACAAAGATAAGAGACTAGCCTCCCCCGATATGAGATAGTAGACAAAACAAATGGATCTTCCACAAAAAGAAAAAAAACCCGAAAAACATTGCAATGTTCGCGAAACGTAAAAATCAACAATTAGCCGCTAATAAATTCAAACCAAATAAGTTGTCTAAATGGAAGTACATCTTGATAAAAACAAAGTTGATATTACTTCACTTTGATTAAAAAGATATTCAACAGAAAAGCAAATACAGAGAAACTAGCTCACGAATCAGTCTCCCTAATTTCACTAGACTAAGACATTTTCCAAAAGGAAATAATGATAACTTTCTTTTTAAAAAATGGAGCATAATCTCCCTTCAATATAAGATCAAGATGATAGGTAGATGCAATAGTAAGGTGACGAAAAGATAAGTCCAGAACAATGGATTAGGCGCGAGACATAATGATAAAGCCCTCCAATGGAAACACTACTTCCCTGCATTTAAGATGGGTATATGCAATAAAGAGTCTTTAAACGAAAATCATCATATCTACGAAAAAAAAGAATCAACACTAACCATCGAACAAAACCAAGAAAAGGCAGATACATAATCTCGACAAACAAAGGATCAGAAACTCAAGTCCTCGAAATGTACTACTCAACGAAAAGGTACACATAAAATATCATTTACCGCTGGAGAAATAGTTAGCACCTATCAGCCTCTAAAATTATAAGCTGAAGAGCATAATTCTTGAACATGGTTAATAGATGCAGCAATTCTCCAATGAAAAGAGAAAGCCAAAGAAAAATCGATCCACGAGACTATACAATGGCCAATTCAAACTGAAAACAAATGGTTTCCAACCAGAGAACATTCAATACTTGTCCCCTCGATTCAATAGACAGAACAAACAAGTTTTGATCTCTCCACAAATCATTTCAGGCACCAGATAAATCAATCTTTACCTTTACTTTGATCCAAGCACTTCTGAAACTTCTCTCTGTACACATTTATCCGCTCCTACAAATCCAATACTACCATCAATAAAACAACAAAAGATGATGAGAGAACTAAAATATCCAAAGCCACCAAATTTACACATACAATTTCAGATTTCACACGATGATCATCAGGATCAACTCCAGTACACCTCAACCTCACTGAAAAAACACACAAAACCACAAAAAATCTCAACCTTATCACAAATAAACAAACTTCAATGAAAACAGATTCAAGAAGAAGAAAGAGAGTTACGTTCGTAAAGAGTAGTGGTGGCTCCAGCTAGCAAATACATAGTCTTAGCTCGCTGCAATGGCTGCATTGCAGCAAGAACTTCTGGCTCAGCTAAAGTCAGCATCTGCTCAAGCTGTGGTTTCAGTTCCTTGAGGTACGCAAGTGTTTGATTCACCGCTTCAATCGCTGATTCCGGCACCACTCCTCCAGCTCCCGCCGTCGCACCGCTGCTACTTCCTCCACCTCCTTCCATCTTCAATCGAATCGAGAAATTGAAAATCGAAAAAACACGGCGTGGATTCAGAGGTAAAGAGTTTAGGTTTCCGGTTAGATTCTCTTAGTCGCCGACAAGTGTTGAATTTTTTATCATGAAGAGGCGCTAATACAATCGGGAAAGAGTGACGTCAGCATTATCATAGATGGGCCGTTAATAGGCCCAATAAAGGCCCAGTAAACTGGTGAATTTAATGTTATTAATGCAAATGTGGATCAGATCGGTGATTGATCAGATCGGCGGCGATGGATGGTGGCGACGATATGGATTCGCTGTTCGAAGGGATGGAGCTTTTTACGCCGGTGGCTGAGCTCGCCGGAGATAACAAGGTAAGCTCACCGCCTCAATCTGGAAATAATGAAACCAAGGCGGCGGAGGCGACACTGATCACGGCTCCTTCTCAGCCAGATATGACGGAGGCTTTGGACGAGAATCTGTTTTCTGACTTAACGATTGTGACTCCGGTTCAACACCAACCTGAGCCGATCGAGGTAGTTACTACTCATCCATCTCCGGCGAAGAATTATGGACGTCAGGTGTCACGGAGGAAGAAAAGAGCGGCGGGATTAAGAATAGGATATGGTAGGCACGAAACCAACAATCTCGATGAAGACGAAGATGATTCCGTTAGTCAACAGTCCGATTCCGTTAGTCAAGTATCGGATTCCGTTACTCAGGTATCTGATTCCGTCGCGCAAGTGATTGATTCCGGTAATCAATCTTTGGACTCTCCTGTTGTTAGTGTTGTTGTTGGTAATGGTAGCTCAAGGTTGGAACTAGTCAAGGCTCAGATCGAAGCGAAGCTAAATCGAGCTTGTGAATTGGCTGCTTCGGTTACTTCTGCTCGTAAGAATGCGATTAGGAAGAGAAGGCAAGCATCTGAGAATCTCAGATTAGCTTCTACGACTCACGAAGAGCTGGAGAAGCAGCTTGAGGAAGCGATTGAGGCCGAGGATTTTGATGCTGCTGAGAGGATTAGCGAAAGTCTCGCTGCTAAGGAAAGAGATAGGCTAGCTTTGTTGGCATTGCTTCGTCAAGCGGAATCTGATTGTGACGCTATTGAGTCGAAAATGGAGGAGGTTCTTCTTTCTCAGATTGCAGCTGAAGAAGAATCCTCCTCTCTGCTTCGGAGGTTTTGCACGGATGCTGAGAATGATGCTGGATCGATTCTGGAGAAGGCGGAAGCTTTTTATTCAGATGAAATGGAGAAATGGCATTCATGTTCTGAAGATGTGGAAGTTAGAAAAGTCGAATTGGATATAGAATCTGTTGTTGTTGATAATGTTAGGTTGTCGTTGAATGGTACTCTTGAGGGATCCGTTGAACAAGATATGAAAGAAAAGGAGATGCTGCGGAAGAAGAACGAACATTTGTCAAATGAACTTGAGGAGTTGCTTGCTCTGGTGAAGGCTAAGGAGAAGGAGATTGACGAGAACGATTTGAAAATAGAGGCAGTTGAGGAAAGAATTAACAATGTGGTGACGGGCTACAAGGAATTGCAAACAAGCATGGATAAAATGGTAAACGATGTGCAAGCGGGTCTCACCCAGATTGATAAGGAAACTGAAGATTTATCAAGGAAAAAGAAAGACGTGGATGAGTTCATGACATCTGAGAAGGAGAGAGGAGCCAAACTCCGTGATCTTGCCCGTGTTTCAGCAGATGAAGCATGTGAATATGATAAAGTTATTAAATTGCGAAAAGATCTGATGGCGTATGTGTCTAAAACTAGAGAAGAGAGAGCCAAGCTTGTAAATATCGAAGAGAAGCTTTCTGAGGAAGTACAGAAGCTACAAGAGGAGGTTTCTAGTACCCGAGAGTCACTAAAGGAGCGATCTTCTAAAAAGTCGATCATCCAACAGAATATTACATCTTTCATGGATAAAATTATGTTCATAGAGAAAAGGATGCCGGAGCTTGAAGCAGAGAAGAAAGTTGCCGCATCAACAAGAAATTTCAAAGAAGCTGGAAGAATAGCTGCAGAAGCCAAGTCCTTAAATCTAGAAAAGGATAAGATACAGATGGAGACAGGAAAAGCTAACGCTGAGCTCGAAAAAGCAGAACATGAGATCGAAGAAACCATCAAGAGGCTACAAGAGATAGAGAGGTTGATTTTGTCAAAAGAAAAAGAATTGGCTATCAGTAGATTCCAGAGGTTGCGGATTGACAGTGGCACTGCAAAAGCCGAGAGATCAGCTGCTCTGGAACTGAGCGACCTCGAAGAAGCTAATCTTCTACTTGAGGAAGCGCAAGAAGCAGAATCCGAGGCAGAGAAGCTTAAACTCACATGCGGTCTCAAAGAGGAGGAAGAAAAAGAAGAAGACGAGGCTAAGTCTTACGAAGTTTTTGTCTCGATGGAACTCATAGCCACTGTTGGTCTGAAAAAATTACAAGAATTGGCGGAATGTGTTCCATCTTAAGTCTGAAGCTGCTTCAGGTTCAATCCTAGGGACTACAGAAATGTCCTGAATCATCAAGTAAAAGAACCAAATGGTTGGTTTTGTAGATCTATCAACAACATTAAGCTCCATAACGCAGTCCACATATATGGTTTTTGTTTGTTTTTGGTTTTGGGATCCATGTTTGATTGATAGGTTGTTCAAAGAAAAGACTGCAAGCTTTTTCGATTCAAAATGTTATGGATACATGAGGAAGATAGATATACACCATGAATTTTTTTTGTTGGAATGTACTTTCTTTGTTTCTCTGTTTACTTAGATCAAACTGTTGATTTGGTAGGTAGATATTGTTGTCTCATTGTAATTTAAAAATTGTAAAATTGGCTCGTTATATGGTAATTCTGTTTATTTGTATTGGACTAAGTAGTCTTATGACACCTCTCGGTCGAAATGTCTGGCTATCGCCATCACAAAGTGGGATGTTTTCGGATGCAATGATTTATACACAAAGAATTTGAATGCTCGTCTTTACATCCATTGTAGATTGGCTGACTGGCAACGTCTAACATATCATATAATTGTTTTGCATCTAGGTTTGGTTATTCATGAATATTATATATATGATGTGCAATATTTGTGGTGGTTTCATGAAATGCATAAGTAACCATTTCATGATCATGGTCCTGAGCATGATAATCAAATTAATGCAAATTATTTGGAGTTTGCGACAACGAGATAGTTCTTGTAGGGATTTTCAAAACTTGGGGAAGATTAAAAATTATTTTGTTGACTCGGCAAAATGGTACATGGAGCTAAGTAGAAGCTTTTGCGCTGGATCTTTTTTCAAAGGTATCAGCCAGGGGCGGACGTAGGTAGAGGAGACTTGGGACACGTGCCTCACATTCATTTTTCAATATTTTTTTTTCATTTTCCAAACTAATAAATATGTTAAAATTAATAAATTTTGTAAAAAATTATTAGGTTATGTCCATGTAAAAATAATTTCTTAAATTTATCAAATTCATTAAGGTTGTGCCTAAGCTTATGCTTTCGGGTTTTTTATCGGATTTGATTCTGATTTTTTTTGGATTTGGATAATTCGGGTAGAAGAGTCTATTATTCGTTCGGGTTTTATGACTATTCGGTTCGGGTATGTGTTGGATTTGGAACAGTCAGAAAAAAATCTAATAATTGTTCAATTTTAATAAAAATTATTTCAATTTAAATAAAATTTGGTTAAATTTTTGCAAACAATTATACATTTTTGACAAATATAACTAATGATTTTTGGATATCTAGGTTGTTTCAAATATTTTTGTTCATTTGGTATTTTTAATCAAATATAATATTCGATTTCGATTCGGTATGGGTAATTCCAGTACAAATATTTAGATTTTGTACCGAATTTAATGAATATTTGTTTTGGTTTCAGAATTGGAACTTTTGGACCGGTTTTTGAATTTTGATTTTAATACCTAAATCTAAGTGTGCCCCATGTAAAGTAGATTCTGGATCCGCCACAGGTATCAACTACAAATTTGTTGATAGGAGAGATCCTATTGTCCTCGACAGAGAGGGAATATAAGTCAGACATTATTTTCACTAAACCTTGGCAACTAACAGTTCAATAGACATAACATACTTACATAAAAATCTAATCTAAATGGTGAAAAAAATATATTTTGTTTTGATATGATAAAGGTTATCAGATATTAATTCTTACTCTTAGATTGATCTTGCAATTATCTATCTAAGTAATTAAAAAAAAGTCATACGATATTTTTCATGTTTAGTTCTAATAAGCAATTAATATACCCTTGAGTTTATACTTTAGTCTATTTACACTCAGACCGACGAAAAAGATATACACTCAATCAAATTTTGCTTAAGGAGATTTAAAAATTACTTAAGTGGGAGACAAGTAATATAAAAATAACTATATGTCTATAACAATTAAAATATACTTTTATAAGAACTATTTAAAGAAAACTTTTAAATTGACTCGAATTATATGTTTTTTTAATAAAAATATTATAAAAAGAAAAATAACAAAATGATGTCTAATCTCACGTGAAAGGGTTATATGGTGGGATGAGTTTGGATCGATATTAATATGGGATGGTATACATGGGTGAAATCCTAGAATTAACAATCAAAATACAACTATATAATTTTTTTTTTTTGTTTTCATCACGATTATATAATCTTAAACACTAAAAAAACAAATATTAACAAAACAAATACAACTTTAAATTTAAAGTTTTTAGTTATAAAAAAACAACCATGTGGGGTACCGCGAGGTAAAATCTAATAATCATATATTTCTTTTATTATGTCATTAACCAAAACCTAGAAAAATAATGGTCGTTAAACAAAGACAAAACCAAACTGAAGGAAACTTGAATGCAGTCTTACTTAAAATATGCATATTCGACACATTTCAAACACTGCAAACTGATATTTAGTATGTGGTATTTGACAAATTTGTATAAAGTTTGCACGTTTCACTGGATTCTAAAAACCAATTCGACAAATTTGCGTAACGTAAATTTTTACATAAATCGGGAACTACCTTAACTACAATATATAAATATTTACTAGGATTTAACCCGCGGTAAATTGTATTTTATGTATTTTATATAATAATTTATAATTTATTGGATTTTGAAATTCACAAATTAAAAAAAATTATTACTCATTTGTTTATTTTATATTATAATTAATATAGTTGAAATATATAAAAATTGTTTTTGAGTTGTTGTATTTGTTACCTAAATGTGTTACGTTGTATTGATGCACTCAGAAGATTTGTAAGTGTAGAAGTGTAGTGTTAATATTGGTAAGCATTTATAATCATGGACTATTATAATAATTTGATATTATTTTGTATCTAAAAAATTTACCCCGGTACATTGCGGGTCGATTTTTTTAAACGAAAAACTTTAAATTTTGTGTTATATTTGTTTTGTTAATATTGTTTGGTTTGTTTAGTGTTTAAGATTATATAATTATATTTTTTTTCTTTTTAATTCTAAGATTTCATCCGTAGTATACCGTCCTGTATTAATATCGATCCAAACTCGTCCCGCCATATAACCTCGTCTCGTGAAATTAAACAACATTTTGTTATTTTACATCGATTGAGTAATATATGTCCTTTTTAAAAATTTGTACCACATCATATATTGAAAAAAATTATTATTTTATCAATTATATGTATTTTATATAAATTCAAAATAAATTAAATATGAGATCATATAAAAGTGAAAGAAGAATCATATATTAATGTTTAAATTAGGTAGAGTGGTTTTAGGAAATTAGCAATTAATCGAATTTAGAAACAAAATCAATTTGTTACTATCTTTTGAAGCCACGGTTTATAAAATATTTTCGAAAATAATTTGTAATATTAATTAATAGAAAACATTTATGACAATGGCATTCTCTTGTAAATAAGTGGCAACTCCAGAAATTATTTCATATTTGTACTTAAAAAATGTATATATAGATGTAAAACTTAAATTTACTCCAAATCACTGTCTAAATCTCAATTTTCTTATTTATATCACTTTCTAAATCTCAATTTTCTTATTTATTGTATTAAAGAGAGGAACTTAACTCTTTAATCTCAATCTCAAATTGCAATTCTTCTTGTTATTTCAAGAGTTTTTATATTTTGAAACAATATATTCATATATTTATTCCATTTTACATTAAATATCACTTTAGAATTGAAATTTTGTTTATTATCATTTTGTATCTGTAAACATTTTTTTTTATATAAAATTTATGCATACGCAATAATTAATTTGAATTTCGGCAAATTCTTAAAAGACGACTGAAAATACAAATATTCTATTCTAAATTCCTAATTATTATTTTCCCTATCTCCCGTTTATAGCTCTGTCTTGTGTTCTCTCCTCGAGCCCTAGCTTCCTGATCAATCGTCACCCTTGTCGATTTCTCCAAACCCTAATTCTGAATCAGAAGAGAAGTTGGATGCTGAAAATATGAGTTCATTCTCGATCACTCGAAAGAAAACGCCATTCCAGAAACACAGAGAAGAAGAAGAAGCTCGGAAGAAGGTGAGTTCAAAATCTTAATCGATTCATCGCTTTTTTCGGTAGAATTTGAGAATTTGTTCATCGGAGATTGATTTGATTAATCGATCTTAATCGCAGAAAGCGGAGGATGAAACGGCTCGTTTGTATCAAGAATTCGTGGAATCGTTTCAAGGGGATAATGCAACTACTAAGACTTTTGTTCGAGGTGGGACGATAAATCCTGGTGACAAGCCTAAGGTTGATTCTGAAGGTTAGTCTTTGAAAGGCTTTTAAGTGTTGTTACCTCTTGCTTCTCTCTTTGTGTGTACTTTGTTCTTCTTCTTTTTTTTGATGGTGTCAAATGGTTAGAGCAATGTTTTGTTTTATATTGGGAACACATTAATAAGTGTATGGACCTTTTTTTCTATGCGTTCGCGGATGGCAGGTGAAAAGTCCAAAGATGGGGGTTCGGTTTCAAAGAAGGGGAGTAGGTAAAACTGATTGCTTTTGATTGAATCAATCTTGTGTTGCTATCGTAAACAGAACGAGTTTGGCCGCTCGTTGATTTTGCTCATGAGTTACACTTTTGATAAGGTTGTTACGAGGCTTGAGCAAATATTATTAATCCTGTTGTAACTAGCTGAGGTCTCATGCTTTATTGGTAAAAGTTTTGGGTCGTAGGAATGATGTTCTTGGGTATTGCTTGATAAGTTGATAGCCATTTTTGTATTCTTGTTATATAGAAGATTATCGTCCACTTAATCTCTGTAGGTATGTTCCCTCTTTCCTTCCACCACCACTGGCATCTAAGGGTAAAGAACCAGAGAAGAAGGTCAGTAGCATGGATTTTGTCACTGTATTTCTTTTACTGTAATTGGTTTTTTCGTTTGAGGCGGCAACAGTTTAGTTATACGCTCATTTATTTCATCTTTATAGAGGGAGGAGGAGAGGCCTAGGGAGAGAGAAAAGGGAAAGACTCGAAATATAGATCATTTCATGGAGGAGTTGAAACGTGAACAAGAAATGAGAGAGAGACGAAACCAGGATCGTGACCGTCAGGGTGATAACTCGGTTAGTTCATCATACTTTTTCGCACTCTTCATCGGTGTTCTGCTCTCAAATTAACTCTGGACTCCCTGCTTTCTGTATTTAACTTATTCTGTCTTCAGCCATCTAGCCGCTTTGATGAGCTACCTGATGATTTTGATCCCAGTGGAAGGCCAGGATCGTTTGACGATGGTGACCCACAAACTACAAATCTATATGTTGGGAATCTGTCCCCAAAGGTGTTTTTTCTTTTCTTACTTGGATTCGTGTGTTGTTTTCCCTCGCCAATGTTTTCTTAATATTCATAAGATATGATCTTTATGCTCACGTAGGTTGATGAGAATTTCCTTCTGCGCACTTTCGGAAGATTTGGACCCATAGCCAGTGTCAAGATTATGTGGCCAAGAACAGATGAGGAGAAGAGGCGACAAAGAAACTGTGGCTTTGTTTCCTTCATGAATAGGGCTGATGGACAAGCTGCAAAAGATGAAATGCAAGGTAAGCTAGCTGCTAGCCTCTCATCTCTCTAGGACTATCTTTGTAGCCTGGGCTAGAAAGCGTTTGCTAGGTAGAGGCAACATGTGTGATGTATGATATACACGATTAAAATGGATAATTGAACAGGAAACGTCTTTAGGCTCTATACTTTGTAATAGCATATTAGTTTGAGTACTTCAGTTCAACAAAATTTGAGTGGATTCATATGTGCAAAGCCTGTGTCAGTGTCAAAGACATATGTAACCAATATTTGATACAAGGCATGCATTGGCGTTAAGTTTTAGTCACCAGTACTGCCTTACTCTAGAACTTTGTCTTTTGTTTCTTCATTGATGCAGTTTCTTCCATCTCTTCTTTCTTCACTATTACTGCTTTCTTTTGGTACCTTTTTCTTTTTTGATCGATACATATACCCCGTGGTTGATCAATGTTGGAAGCTAATGACCTTTTTGGCAATATTGACTAGTCTATCTGTCTATGGTCGACTGGTTTTGTACTAACTATACATCCTGATTGCATGTGACAATGTTAAAGAAAGTTATGAAGGAAATTTTCCAATTTTACAGGGATCATTGTGTATGAGTATGAACTGAAAATTGGATGGGGTAAAGCAGTTTCTCTACCGTCACAAGCATTACCCGCTCCTCCACCTGGACATATGGCTATTCGGAGTAAAGAGGTTTGTGATGCATCCTGTGCTGCTCTTCTAGATACATTTCTTCTTTAATTCTATTAACTAACCTATGAATGGGCCTGATCTCTGAATTTATTGGTATTTCCTTGCCACTTTTTGCACAAAAAGTTCTTGACTGCCAGTTTTATATCTGTTTAGTTTAACTCTAAAACTTCATATGTTTTCATTGGCAGGGCTGCAACTTGGTTTTTTCTGGTCAAACGGGTCCACCAATTATAACTTCTGTTCCAAATCAAAATTCTGAGCTGGTATGTACACTTGATTCCACATGGCTTGAATTGGTTCTTTATAAGTTCTATATGATATTCGTGGAGGGCTTTGAATTACTTTATAGTCCAGAAATGTTACTGTTAAGTTTCAGAATTGATCGTCTTTATTTCTTAAAGTAATGAAAGACAGAAGCAGAACTAAAAAACGAACTTGGGATCAATTCTATTCATAGTGCATGCTCTACTTTCCGAAACCCCTAATGGCACTAAACCAGTCCCCAGATACTCGAAACGTCTCAGTACTTAATGCTTCTCTTGTTTGTAATGATCCTGGTTCGACTAACTTGTTGATGTGGCACCTGTAGTTGACGACACTCTTATCAGCTGCCCGTCTTTAATAATCTTTTTCCAACTGTACTTCTGTTGCGTTGAACAGGTTCTTACCCCTAACGTTCCGGATATCACTGTTGTTACCCCTGAGGACGAGCACCTCAGACATGTGATTGATACATTGGCTCTCTATGTTCTGGATGGTGAATGTGCTTTTGAACAAGCTATCATGGAGAGGGGCCGTGGGAATCCACTGTTTAAGTTTTTGTTCGAGCTTGGCTCAAAGGAGCATACTTACTACGTCTGGAGACTCTATTCCTTCGCTCAGGTACATTTGATTGCTTTGTAACTAGGCATATCTTAGATTCTCCTTGTGCTTTACATTGTCATATGCTGATTGCATATTTTTGCGTTGTTTAGGGTGATACACTTCAAAGGTGGAGGACAGAGCCGTATATCATGATAACTGGTAGTGGAAGGTATTGAACCTTGCCAACTTTGAAACTGATCCGGGTTTTCGGTTGGGTTTACTTTTGCATATGACATCTGTTGTATTAACACTGTCTATGTGCTCTTATTGTAGATGGATACCGCCACCACTGCCTGTAACTAGGACCCAGGAGCACGAAAAAGAGTCTGCCAGCACATATGCAGCGGGAAGAACCAGGGTAATATTCTTGCAGTCTCACTTCTGATTTATTTATTTCTGTTTTTTGTTCACTAAGTTGTTCTTTTGGTGTGCGGGATACCTAACACTGGCTAATTTTACAGCGTGCGGAAGTTGAGAGGACTCTGACCGACCCTCAGAGGGATGAGTTCGAGGACATGTTGCGTGCTCTTACTTTAGAAAGGAGTCAGATAAAAGAAGCTATGGGTTTCGCTTTAGATAATGCAGATGCAGCTGGAGAGGTATAATATCTTTTATTTCAGTATATTTAGTTTTACAGAAGATCATATACTTCATAGATATCATTCAGAAGCTTCAGCATATGTTTTAATCCTGATTTGTTATGGAAATATCTGAAGATTGGTTCGTTTGTATGCAGTGGTAAAAAAGCATTATACCCCTAAGCATATTTTTAGAAAAATAACTTGTTATTGGACCAAAATCAGATGCTTTTCCTCGCAATTTATTATATCTTCAGATGGTTTTTTCTAGACACCACAAAAAAATTCTGAACAGAATTACTCGTTAATAAAATAGATATTCAAATGCCTCTTCCTACTTATATGTGTACTTATCCCACAGGTTGTTGAAGTTTTGACGGAGTCCCTGACTCTAAAAGAGACATCAATTCCAACCAAAGTTGCTAGACTCATGCTTGTGTCTGATATTCTTCATAATAGCAGTGCCCGTGTTAAAAATGCATCTGCATACCGAACCAAATTCGAAGCAACTCTACCCGATATAATGGAAAGCTTCAATGATCTGTATCGAAGCATAACTGGAAGAATTACTGCTGAGGCTCTAAAAGTACTGGCAGAAAGAAAAATGATCTTTGATAGTTTTCCTTCCCTTATAAATATACTGTTCTAAACTCATTCTGACTTTTTGCAGGAACGGGTTCTCAAAGTACTGCAAGTATGGGCAGATTGGTCTCTCTTTTCAGACGCATACATACATGGACTACGATCCACATTTCTCCGATCAGGAGTCTCTGGTGTTACCTCATTTCATTCTATCTGCGGTGATGCACCTGAAATAGAGAACAAAAGTTACGCTGACAATATGAGTGATATTGGGAAGATCAATCCAGATGCTGCACTGGCAATAGGCAAAGGAGCTGCAAGGCAAGAGCTGATGAATTTACCAATTGCTGAGCTTGAGAGGCGTTGCCGGCAAAACGGACTCTCTCTTGTAGGAGGTAGAGTAATGATGGTTGCCCGGCTACTAAGCCTTGAAGACACAGAGAAACAACGTGGCTATGAAGCCGTGGATGAAATTTCAAAGCATCCGCAAAACCATTCAACTTGGGAAGAAGTTAAGAGTGAGCGGGAGCATATCAAGAACAGCTACGCAGAGGTTGAAATGAAAGAGCCTATTAATCTGGCCACGACAATACCAATCCCACAGCCTGAGCTGAAAGCCTTTGTGGGAAAAGAGAAGAATGACCTCATATTGCCAGCTTCAAAATGGGCGAGAGACGATGACGAAGCTGATGATGAACAAAAGAGGAGCTCCTCTTCAGGAAGTGACAATACTGGTGGGATAACTTTCAAGGCCGATGACGAGGATCTCAAGGGAAATGATTGTGTCCGTGCCCAACCTGACAATGGAATGGACGAGGAACAAAGGTATGATCAATGCATCTCCTTATGAAAAGATATAAGCAAAGTAACTTAAGCAGGCAAAATATGGATTAAAAACACCAATTCGCATTATTGCTTCTTGTTGGTGCTTGATCATTGAAAACAACAAAGAATACCTCGAAATAGTTCGAGAAAAAAGTAACATCAGGGTAGTCTATGTTAGTGAGGAAGGTGTGTTTGTGAACTTCAATTGATTTGGTCTTTATAAAGCTTTTGGGCATAAGCATCAATTGTATGTACCCAAATGTGTCTAACCCATACATGAGCTTGCACCAGTACTGTAAAGTTTACAAGAAAATATGAGTACTTACTTTTACTAGAAGTTGCTATTCAATTGTATAATTTGAAACTCAATAGACTTCTCCCTTACTCTGTTTTTTGATACTGCAGACAAAAGCGTAGACGCATAGAAGTTGCTTTGATAGAGTATCGTGAAACTCTTGAGGAAGAGGGGATGAAAAACGCCGAGGAGATAGAGAGAAAAGTAGAAATCAACAGAAAGAGGCTTGAAGTTGATTATGGCTTATCCAAATCTAACGAGGGCAACAGAAATCGTAAGTTTTTAGTTCACACCCAACATATACTCTTCTTTTGTTTTGGGAAAGGTTGTTAATTTGATTCATGTCCATTTGATGCAACAATGGGAGAAACTTGGCCACCTTTTTGCAAATTCTTTAGCTCAGTTTCTTATACTCACGTGTAACTTAGGCATTACACATGTGTGAGTGCGTCTCAAACACTATTGGTGTTTCCAACTTAAATTTAGGGCAAGTATTTAAAGCTAAGTTATTTCCAAACACCTGTTCTGTAGTTTGCCTTTCTTTTTGTGTTGGTGATTAAAAAAACTGGAAATTTGAATTACTAGTTCTGAAGTCCAGAAGTTTGACAATGATAGCTAACAACTAAGAACTAAATGCCTCCTTTCATAAGTATTAGTTTACTCTATTGGAGTTTTGCTGGTTTTGACCTTCGTGTGCCATGTTTTTTTTTTTATTTAGCTTTGTTTTTGATTAAAAGACAGTTCTTTTAGGTTTCGAGGGTCCTTTTTTGTTTTTTGTTGTCTTCATCACGGACACTGGCAGCACCTGTGTATCCGTGATACGGCCATGTTCATGTTGATCCAATTGACCCTTCATATAAATTTACACATTGATTTTAACTGCAGAGAAATCAATCATAGAGCGGAAGGAGACGCGTGAAGGTTCACAAGAATCTTCTAAAAAGCGACACCGTGGGGAAAACCAGAGCCAAAGTCCGCCACGGAAATCATCAACCAGGGAGAGGGAGAGAGATCATGACTTGGAGAGAGACAGGGACAGAGAGAGACATAGAGACAGAGATAGGCAACATGATTTGAACAGGGATCGAGACCGACGTGAAAAGAGTTCAAGCCACGATCGAGACGATCATGATAGAAGCAAAGAGAGAGACAGGGATTGGCGCAGACGAGGCACGAGATGATGATGATGTTATTAGACTTGTTTTCACCTCATGGTTTGTTCTCTGCATGACTGGAAGAATTTAACCTTTTGTGTTTCTAAATCCAGAAGATATGTAGAACTTGTTCTCAGACACAGCTTGTAATTGTGTATCCCAATTTCTGAAAGATTTCTCACTCATTGTTTCTTCTGCAGGATTCATATGGTTTTTTTCTTATGAAACTTCCTTAGATATAGAAGTAAATAGGGTCTCGATATCACAAGAGATGTTTCTTCTATACCAAAAAAAAAACACAAACTTATGTATTCAGTAAAATTGCTCTTTGCAGCAGTACAAGTGAAGTTCGTATAAACTGCTGGAAAAAACTGAAGCATTTGCTTCAAACATTATAAGAGAATACTGTTGCTATCTTCTATCAACAGCCTGAACAAGAGATGCCAATTCCAAATTCCGAGTTCCTTCTTTTTCGTTTTCCGAATCTTCTGATTCTTCGCCCATTATCTCATCCGGGAGCTTGAAAGTGTTCTGATCTCCTTTAGGCACAAGAAACAGAAAACAGAGCGGCAAAAGTCTCATGACATTCCTGACCAAAACCGCGAGCCAGAGGTTATGAAACTCAGTCCGAGTAACCTTGAGGACGTGCAACAATATTCCTCCGAGCCAAGACGAGGTCATGAGGCCTGCATTGTCAATTGACATAAGCAATGCAAAGAACGTCCCTTCGATTCCGTGAGGACAAAGCTTTGAAGTGAGGACAAGCAGCGGCATCCATTTCAGGCGTCCAATCATTTGAGAAACTATCTCGTCCACTACTATGAAGAGATAATCCGGTAAACCAAATTTTAAGTTGAGACGTAGCACAAGAATGAGGTCAAGCATTCCGGATAAAGCAAAGAGAAGTTGAGTCCACAAACAAAGGCCACGGAACGGATGATCCTTAAGGACTAGTTGGTACAGCGTTGCTCCTAGAATCGATCCGATTGAACCAATTGAGAGAATGAAACCAACCGTTTCCTAAAACAGACCAGAAGGGTTCTCAACATATTAGGCATTTTGGAGTAAATTTTGATAAATAGAAACTACTTGTTTTGGAAATACCTGAGCAAACAAAGGACCATCCTTCGAATCTGTGAACCAATAGAAGAGACCTTCATGAATGTTCAAACCAAGAGTAAGGGAAATGTACATATACAAACTCGGCCGCCACACATCTGAGCATTTCATGGTCCTCCACATCGCTTTCCCTGCATCGGTAAATTTCTGGTTTACCTGAAATGAGACAACAAGAGTCAATACTCTCATGTTGGTAAGAATTCAAGAGAGAATAGAATTACCTGTTTGTAAGAAAAACCAGGAACATGAGGCTCACTAAACACAATCCCGACTACTGATACTAATGCGAATGGGAACGTCAGCAAGCCAAAGACTCCCTAATGACGCAAAACAAGCCAAACACAGCATTAGAGAGGAATCATGAATGACAGAGATCACAGTAGACAGACGACTCACTAACCTTAGAGCCAACAATATGAACTAAGATGCCACTCATAAAGAAACCAAGAAGTGCTCCAATGGAAGAGCTTAAGCTACATAAGCTCTGCATATCCGATGCAAGAGAAGGGTGTTTGATACTATTGTAAGCAGTGCAAGCATCAATAGTTACATCGGCAATCGCCATTGCAGCACTTGATATTGTCATCCACAACAGTGCCAAGTAAAGGTGTAGATTACTATGCAGTGAAATAAACAACAATGAAACCACTCCAAGCACCCCTGCAAAACACACAGTATAATCAATGAGAACTTTGCAGAGAGTTTGATCCGATTTCTAGCGAGTGACATTTACCTGCTAAAATGAAGTAAGGACGTCTATGGAAACCAAAGATAGGAAGAACATCAGTGAGAATGCCCCAAAGAGGCTTAATGATCCATGGAATCTTAGTGATTGCAGTGAGAGCTTGAGATTCAGAAGGCTGAACTTTTTGAACATCTTTCATATAATACTCTGTAGCTACACGACCTAATGAGCCACCAAGCCCTTGGTTTATACCGTACAGTGAGACCACACCAAACACAAAGCTCCAATGAAGCTCTGAAGACAACATCTTTAGCCACCGCACAGGACCACACACCACATTACGGAAATTACTTTCTCCTTTGACCACATGTACGGATCCACCGTTTTCAAGGTTTTGCTCTTCTTCTACTACCATAACTGGTTCTAGGGAAAGATTCAAGATTTGGCTCTGGTTTGAGCTCAAATGTTGAAACTTTTGATGTGGGTTTGGTTTGAACTCTGAAAAACAGATCCGAGGACAAGAGTTGTTTGAAGTTGGTATCTCTTGGATTGGATTGAGCTCAGATCATAAAAAAAGGATGAATCTTTTTGATGTAAGCAAGTCAAAAAACAAAGATTTGGGAATCAAAAATGATGAATCTTGAATTAAAGCTCAAGAAACAAGAATGGAATCGGCAGACATTAAGCTTCGTTGACCTGTTTTCGTATGAACAACAAATACCCATTGAAGAAGAAGAGAATGAAATAAAGAAATGAAAGGATAAAACTCAGATCAAGAGAGACGAAAGGAAAAGGTCAAAGCTTTTGCTGTTAAATGTTTGACAAAACACACATCTTTGTTTTGTCTCTTACTAAGAACATTCTTGTCTATTTTCTTCCCCAGTTTTTTTTTTATGCAATTTTACCTCAACGATAGAAACTTTTTTATTTCATTAGAAGAAATTGTATGATTTGTTGATAATATTAATTCAACAAAGATGAAATGGAATTAAGCTTGGTTTTGCATCAAAGTCACCTAATACTTTAATACTTTTGACTTTTCTTTCGTTACATAAGAATTTGTTTTGTTTTTTTCTTGTTGAAGTCATACATAAGAATTTGTAGATCTGTAACTAAAATTACGTAAACTTTAAATACAATGTATCTCAAAGAATTTAAGTTATGTATATGCATTGCATTATTTGTCTTCTAAAGTTCTAATTCAGCATTTCCCAAAAAAAGAAAGAAAGAAAAAATCTAAAGCTTTTCAAGATAAGGCAAACAATGGAACAGCTACAAGTAGTTTTGTTTTTTTTTTGAACATAGGAACTTCTCTTTTAATACGTGTTTGGAAATCGTTGGATCAAAAATAGATCTTGTCACCACTACTTCTTCTCCACTGATTATGAAATACCAAAAAGCCCATTTTCATTTCTTTATAATAAAAGAAAATAGATTCCAGCATCTTTGGGATGTTGTCAACTTTATTGATAATTTATATAGAAATAGACAAAAGCTTGCCACCAACTACGAACTGTTGTTACTCATTATTACTATATTCTATTTTATGAAATACTTGAAATTGATAATGATATTTAACTTTTGGAAGTTATTGTAGTGGTTGTCATTGATAAACCTATTACAAAATTTTTAAAAAAACTTCTAGGTATCTTTAGAAACTATGAATCTTTTTATAATTTCTTTTTCGCAGATATGAATCTTTATCAAGAAAGTTTTTCTTTTATAAATATAATAATTTCATTACTAGAAAAAGAATGAAAAACGAGCAAGTCACTCTCACTCTTCGTAAGTGTATGATAATCTTGTTTATTAGGGCCAAAATTAAATTGATGATCCTAAACTAAAATAAATCCGTCGTAAAAGAAATTTTTGAACCAAAAAAAGGAAATATGATTACATAAATGATCATAAAGATCGAAGAGACATTACCAAACATTTAATACTAGTTCTCGTAATTTGTCTCATGCATCCATATGTGTTGTACTTGTACATGTATATATAAGGACATGTTGTAAAATGGAAAAACAGCAGATCTAAAATGGTAAGTCAAATATAGCAATAAGCAAATACTTCTCGTCGATCGGAGAAGGAGATTTTTCATTCTCTTTGTCTCTAGTCCAAGCCTTTGGTTCTACCACCAAAATAAGTGCAACATCTCTTGATATTATAGTAAATCTAAAACCATCAATAATTTTGTCTATTTTTTTAATTATTTTCAATTATCATCTAATTTAATATATAATCATTACATAAAAAGCGAACGTGGAAGAGTTAGAGAGAGCTTGCTGAGTTTATCAAGTTTTCGTTTTCCGAATCTTCACCCATTATCTCATTCGGGAGCTTCAATGTGTTCTGATCTCCTTTGGGCACAAGAAACAGAAAACAGAGCGGCAAAAGTCTCATGACATTCCTGACTAAAACCGCAAGCCAGAGGTTACTAAACTCAGTCCGAGTCACCTTAAGGACATGCAACAATATTCCTCCAAGTCAAGACGAGGTCATGAGGCCGGCATTCAGAGCCGGCTCAACGTTTATGAGGGCCACAAGCAAAGGAAAAAAAAAAGGCTGCTTCATTATTGCTTTTTGCAAGACCAAGGAGGAAGAAGAAGAGCAAACGACGTCTTAATTAGGTTTTAAGGTTTATTGCTTTTCTTTATTAATATTTGTTTAAGTAAAATCGTTTTATTTTTAATCTCAAAGCTTTCTTATATTATTTTTCGTTTTATTTTAATGTTTTGTTTTAAAAAAACGGAAAAAAGAAATAAAAAAACTATTATGTAGACTTGAACCGGAGACATGAGACATTATTCTCATAAGAGCAGATCACTAGACTAAAGGAACTTCTCAAAAATATGGGGCCGAAAATTAACTATATTATTTGAGGCCTCAAGCCAATGCTTCATGGGTCTATGCCATGGGCCGGCTCTGCCGGCATTGTCAATTGACAATAGCAATGCAAAAAAGGTCCCTTCGATTCCGTGAGGACAAAGCTTTGTATTGAGGACGAGCAGCGGCATCCATTTTAAGCGTTTGGTTTGATCATCTGAGAAACTATCTCGCTCGTCCACTACTATGAATAGATAATCCGGTAAACCAAATTTTAAGTTGAGAAGTAGCACAAGAGTGAGGTCAAACATTCCGGATAAAGCAAAGAGAAGTTGAGTCCACAAAAATATGCTATGGAACGGATGATCCTTTAGGACTAGGTTGTACAACAATACTCCTAGAATCGACCCTATTGGACCAATTGAGAGAATGAAACCAACCGTTTCCTGAAACAAACCAGAAAGGCTCACAACATATTACGCATTTTCGGGTGGATTTTGAAACTAGAAGCTGCTTGTTTTGGGATTACCTGAGCAAACAAAGGACCATCGTTTGAATCTGTGAACCAATAGAAAAGACCTTCTTGAATGTCAAAACCAAGAGCAAGGGAAATGTACATATACAGACTCGGCCGCCATACATCTGAGCACTTCATTGTCCTCCACATCGGTTTCCCTGCATCTGTAAATTTCTTGTTTACCAGAAATGATACAACAAGAGTCAATAATCTCATGTTAGTAAGAATTCAAGAGAGAATATAGTTACCTGTTTGTAAGAGAAACCATGAACATGGGGTTCACTAAACACAATCCCGACTACCGATACTAATGCGAATGGGAATGTCAACAAGCCGAACACGCCCTAATGTCCAAAAAGTGAAACACAGCATTAGAGAAGAATCATAAATGACAGAGAGATCACAACAAACGATTCTCTAACCTTGGAGCCAACAAGATGAACTAAGATGCCACTCATGAAGAAACCAAGAAGTGCTCCAATGGAGGAGATTAAGGTCTGCATATCCGATGCAAGAGAAGGGTGTTTGATACTATTATAAGCAGTGCAAGCATCAATAGTTAGATCCGCAATCGCCATTGCAGCACTTGATATTGTCATCCACAACAGTGCCAAGTAAAGGTGTAGATTACTATGAAGCGATATGAACAATAAAGAAACCACTCCAAACACCCCTGCAAAAATACAGTACAAGACAATATAAATTTGTATAGTTAAATAAAGAGACAATTGCAGAGGCTTTGTTCCGGTTTCGAGCGATATTTACCGGCTAAAATGAAGTAAGGGCGTCTATGGAAACCATTGATAGGAACAACATCAGTGAGAATGCCCCAAAGAGGCTTAATGATCCATGGAATCCTAGTGATTGTAGTGAGAGCTTGAGACTTAGAAGGCTGAACCTTTTGAACATCTTTCATGTAATAATCTGTAGCTACACGACCCAATGAGTAACCAAACCCTTGATTTATTCCATAAACTGAGACCACACCAAACACATAGCTCCAGTGAAGCTGTGAAGCCAACATCTTTAGCCACCGCACTGGACCACACACCACATTAACGGATCCGCTGTTCTATTTCCATAACTGGTCCTGTAAGGAGTGAAAGATTCAAGATTTGGCTCCGTTTTGAGCTCAAAACTTTTGATATATATGGGTTTGGTCTGAAAAACAGATCCGAGGACAAGAGTTGTCTGAAGTTAGAAGTCTTGGATTTCTTGGATTGATCTCAGATCATAAAAAAGAGGAATCTTTTGACGTAGGCAAGTTATAAGTCAAGCTTCGTTGACATGCTTTTGTATGAACAACAAAATGAAGAAAAAGAATATAAAAATAATTAAAGAAATGAAAGGATAAAGGGAAAAAGATAGCCGACTTATATATGACCACATCTCTCAATTATATCAGAATACAATGTATCTGAAAGAATTTAATTTGTGTATTCTAATTCAGTATTTCCCAAAAAAAAAAGGAAAAATATAAGCTTTTTCAAGATAAGTCCCAAACAAAGGAACAGAAATAGTTTTGTATTTCCTCTTTTAAATACGTGTTCGGAAATCGTTGGATCAAAAGTAGATCTTGTCACCACTACAGTCTCCAATGATTTTAATATACCAAAAAGCCCATTTTCATTTCTTTATAACAAAAGAAATATATCCCAGCAACTTTGGGATGTTGTCACCTTTTATTGATAATTTGTATAGAAATACTGAAATAGACAAAAAAGCTTGCCACCAACTCATTAATTGATTCTATTTTATGAATTACTTGAAAATGATAATGATATTTAACTTTTGAAGATGTTGTTATTTATAAACATATTACTGATAATATTTATCAAATATGATTTCATCATTATATAAAGAATGTAAAACGAGCTAGTCACTCTTCCTAGGTAGTAGGTATTATTACTCTATGATAATCATATTTACTAGATTGTTACCCGCGGTACACCGCGGGTTAATTATTTGATTTTTTTTGTTTTTTTATAAACCGATGAATTTGTTGTATATAATATTTTTTGTTGTACATTGCGAGTCACATGCGTTGTAACTAAAAATAAAAATTTTTAAGTTGTATTTGTTTTGTTTAGTGTTTAAAATTGTATAATTGTATTTTGATGTTTGACAAAAAAAAAAAAATTGTATTTTGATTTGTTAATCCCAGGATTTCACCCGTGATATATTATCCCGTATTAATATCAATCCAAATCCGACCCGTCCCACCATATAATCATGTCCCGTAAAATTAAACATCATTTTGTTATTTCTTTTAATAACACTTTTATTTAAAAGACATATAATTCGAGTCAATTTAAAAGTTTGCTTTCAAATAGTTTCTATGATATATATATATATATATATATATTCAAATTAGTGTGTGTTTTTAGACCAACCCGTAAAAATATTTTAAAAATGTATATTAAAATACTAAATAATTGTATTTTGATTTGTTAATTTTAAGATTTCACCGTGGTATATTGTCCCGTTTTAGATAATTGTAGAAATTAAGAAAATATCTGAATGACTCAATTCCGGGTCAGAGTAAAAAAAAAAATACGACCTGATTAAACGCGCAAATTTGTTTTTCAAAAATGTTAATATAGATTGTACACATACTTTTTTCTTCATCGATTGAGTAATATATGTCCGTTTTAAAATATTTGAATCATAGCATATGCAGAAAAAAATCGAATTTTTTTATTAAGTATATATATTTTATAATAGTTCAAAATAATATAAATATAAGATCATATAAAAGTGAAATGAGAATCATATATTTATGTTTTAATTAGGTAGAGAGGTTTTAGGAAATTAGTTCAAATTTGTTATATTAGCATTAAATAATCATATTTGATTTCTATATCTATAAAAATTGTAGAGAATATGCCATAAATAAAGAGTTTAGGTATAGTAATTAGTTGAGAAAATATATATTTTTTAGATTTTATTGATTAATTTTTCGTTTTTTAGATTTGTCAAAAATAAGGAAAGATCCGATTGAAGATTTCCGGGTCAAAATTAAACAAAATTTGACCCGATTAAAAACCTCAAAAAGTGTTGCAAAAATGTATAGTAGATTAGGGTCATTCATGATCCTAAACTAAAACTAATCCGTAATAGAAAGAATTTTTGAACGAAGAAAAACAAAACAAGAAGTTTGACTCTCTTCTTTATAGAATATGAATGGTTCTTCCTTTAACCAAAAAAAAATATGATCATGGTTTTCAACGACGAAAAACAAATGAATAGTTTTTCAAAAGTACATAAAATGATCACCAAATTCGAAGAGACGAATTACAAATTCCAATATTTAACACCTAAGATTCTCTAAATTTGACTCATGCATCCATATGATGTGTATATACATGTGTTATATGTATAAAAGGACATGGTGTGAATTGACTAAAACATGCAACTGATGAAATGGATGTTCACGAATCTAGAAGTCTAAGTCGATATAGCAACGAGCAAAAAATACTCGTGGTGGGAGAAGGAGAGTTTTCATTTTCTTTGTCTTTAGCCAAAGCATTTGGTTCTGCCACCAACATCACTGCAATATCGCTTGATATTCGAGGTAGTAGTATATCTAAAATTGTCAATCATTTTCTAAATTTTGTATTGTCAAATATAGAAAACAATAGCTTATCAACTATCAAGTTTGGCGATTATGTTATGTATGGTAGAGGAGCTAGGGCGTAACTACAACAATGGAAAAGTGAACGTGGAAGAGTTGGAGAGACTTGGATGCACGGTGGTCCGCGGTGTTAACGTACACTCCATGGCCTCAGACGATCGCTTAGCTCATTACGACATAATCATCTTTAATTTTCCTCATGCAGGGTAAAATTTTGATGAGCTTCTTTCAGATCTTATCAAAAATAAGATATTTGGAGATATTATAACAAGATCTCGATATTTGCTTTGAAACTCTGGATTTAATTTCTGTTCCGAACCACTTTTATATACTGTATAATTTTAAAAATATATGTGAAATATTTAAAACAAGGTAATATCATAATTAAATAGAGGAATATATATTGTAGAAAAAAGGTTTTCAAATTTTTACAAAAAAGTATGAATCTTTTTATATAGTAATAACTTTTTTTCTTATGTATCTGGATACATGCGGATAACATGATTTCTAGGTGGATATATATGTAGTTATGTACCATGTATTCAAATTTCCTGAAATTTCAGAAGTATCCGAATTGAGTCCATCCCTTATCGTATTTTTGTATGTTTATCCTCGGTATATATTCAACATTTGAGTGTTCAATTCAAAGGAAACGTGATAAGGTATTTGGAGGATTTATGGAGAGTGCGAGAGAGATGATGAAAGACGAAGATGGAGAGATTCATATCACTCTAAACACACTACCTCCATTTAACAAGTGGGATATAAAGGCTCTAGCTGAAGAAAAGGGTTTGCGTTTAATCCAGAGAATGCAATTCACTAAATGGGCATTCCCAACTTACTCCAACAAGAGAGGAAGTGGAAGTAACTATGATTTTATCTATCCTATCGGATCAGCTATTACTTACATGTTTAAGAAATAGCTTCTCTTTTTTCCTTGTTATGTTTGGTTTTAAGTTTTTAAATTTCATTCTTAATAAAATATTATTCTGAATAAAATTTCAAATCGTAAACCGTAAATCTCTTGAACCGTAAGCATATATATGTTGCATTTATCAAGTGCCAAATCTACATTTGAAAAAAATTTGTAATATTGTAAGGTATTCGTCTAACATGATACATTTGCTAAAACACTTATCAAAGTATTTATAGTTGCCAATGTCAGGCGAATGCCTAATGTATATGAAGTAGTAGGTCAAGCTCTATGCATGAGCTCATGGATTCTTGCATCAAGATACTCTTCAGTTCAATAAATCATCATAGCTTACAGTGACGACAAGCAAGAATTGTAACACACGCAATAGTAAGGATTAAGAACAATCCACCATTATTCGATGGATCTTAATTTTAATGATCATACAATCATTAATTTCGTCGCCTAGGCGGCCTTTCCTCGGAAGGATTCGTCCTCCGTGGGATTTATATTATAGGCGCTCTTGAAAAGTTGACGATTGAATATACCACATGATGCGAAAACAATCCGAATAAATATGGTTGGTAGAGAGGATAGACTCATCTTTGCCAGTATTTTTTTTTTTGTTTCTGAATCAAAGTAACTTATCCTTATTTTTAGTAAATTTTTGGTTACTCCTAAAACATAAACAGTAATTTCATAAACTTTTACTATGTTAAAAAAAAAAACTCAATATTCCAATATTAATCTTTAAAATTTTCATATTACCACCCCAATCGACAATGGGTGGACAAAAGAAAGTAACAAAAACAGAATCTCAAATCTTGTCCTATTCGTGGAAATAAAATACTATTATAACTAATTATTTTATTATTAATTTTCTTCATTTCAAATCTCATCTTCCATCGTCGTTTTCTTCCGCCACACCCATCATTCTCCGCCGTCGCTTCTTCTCATCATCATCATCATCATCATCATCAACTACAAACGCCGACGATAACTCCATATGACAAATCCTAGCACCACCAATCAATCTCTCCGGCAACTCCTCCTCCGTTTGCGCTTCCACAACAAAACAAACATCAACCATCAAACTTGTAACATACCCCAACATCAACCTCACAAGCGCCGTCAGAATCGGCGAGCTACTAATATCAACATCAACCTCAAAATAATCAACTCCTCTATAATAACTACATTTCACACTCTTCCCAACAACAAACGCACCAAATTTCCCAGCTGCTGCTTTAACAACCCAAGGACCTTTCACAACATTGCTAATGATTTTGAATCTCTCGTCGCGAAATGAACTGTCGTCTACATTGATGAATTTGTGGAGGAGTGAATCGGAAGGGATTGGTTTTTGTGTTGCGAAGTAGAAGACAAAGTTGTAGTGTTCTTTGCCTGGGATCTGGAAATTGACGGCGAAGATGAAGCTACGAGAATGGGAGGTTTTGAGTGCGTGGATTACACGGTTATCGGGACGAGAGAGGATGTGATCGAGTTTGTTTGTGGTGGATTTGAGCCAGTCTACGGCGGCGAGAGAGAGGAGATAATCGCCGCCGGGAGATTTTTGTTTTGTGGTGAAGTAGTTATGGGAGCGGAGAGAGAAGACGTTGCCTGGTGGTGAAGCCCAGCCGTTGGTTCCGGTTTCGAGATCTACGTGGCGGAATGATCCACCGTTGATTGTTTTGGTTATCCATTCCGGTACGGTGGTGATTGATTCGGTTTTGGCTGGTTTGGAGTTTTTGTTATCGTTGTCGGTGGTGGATTTGGTTTGGTTCATGGCGTGTGGTGATTCGTTGATTTCTCTATGTGGTTGATTATATTCGAAGTGGTGGGATCTGATCCCTAGCCAAAAAATGGGATTTTAACACGAGCTCTCACTATCACTGGGACCATTTTGTTTTTATGAATGTCACACTATTAATTCTATTAAGGATCATTTAGGTGAGTGACCAAAAAGATAAATGAAATTAAGAATATAGCACACTAATTTTAAAAACAAAGAGAATAACCATAAGATATATAGAGAAATGACAAAAACACCCTTAAGTATAGCACACGTATATAGGAAAAACGGTCTATTTCCCCACGAGAAGTATCGCATCATAACAGATAGAGCTCATTCTTTGACCTCGGTCTATATCTCCATGAAATCAAAGTTGTATTCCTATTTCTCCCCGAATCGAAAGTTCTATAGCTAAATGTCCCCGAATCTGGGTTATATCGGTTTGTGCTTTAAACCCAAAGTAAACCGTATACCAAACCACTAATATTTGATTCTCAACTGAATTTAAACATGACCCAGCCGTAAATGCTCCGATATCATCTTCTTCTTCACCGGATTCTTCAAACAACAAAAACAATCTTGAAAAATTTGATATCAAAATTACAAAAGCTCATTGGAGAAATTCATTGTAATTAACCAATAATCAAATTCGATGGTAATAAACTTACAACATCCTCTCCCTATAGCCACCAAATCATATCAGTTAAATCGCCGGAATTCGTAATCGACAACGACTGCAATCCTCCACATAAAGCTACGCCATCGAACCTCCATTCTGTCCTAGTGTCAATGTTCTTAGCTTCTTGCATTTAGAATTCTATGCCTCTAAAGCTACACCACTATGCTTCACATCACATCCTTCACTATGTCAAGAACCAGCTCCTCTAGATTCGGTAAAACTGAGAAAACCTCAATTAGCATCTCCGCCGTGACAGCACACTCTCCAGCTTCTTCACTCGTTTTCTTCTTCAACAATGTTGACATTCTCACATCCACTCATCTCTAACCATCAAGGTTAGATCTCTCCCTTTTCTCTCTTTATATTTCTTGTTCTTGTTTTGTTTCTCTTCACATACATAAACGATTTGATCTTTAAGAAAAAAGAGAGATTTTCTTTAATGGTCTACATTTTACTAAACTTGGATACTCTTCTTACAAAACACACACACATACATATAGTGGAGTGGTTTTTCTCCACTAGACCATACTTTAAGACTTATGACAACCACTCTATTATGTTGGAATTCCAACTCCTTAATTCACTCTTACACGACACCTTAGACTAATACAACATAACACTTTCCTTTGTTGACTTTACTTTTTCCATTTTGTTGTTTTGTTTAACAACTTCTTCTTCTTCCTTCGATGCTTCTTCCTCTGTTCTTCATCTTCTTTTTCTCATGGATTCTTCTTTTCTCTTTTGTAGGTTCAATCAAGGATACAATTCCAACAAACAACCTCCGGATCTCCGACGGCGTCTTCTTCCCACACAAACGACGGCGGTCTCAACAAACGTAAGATTATCTCAAACAAGATCAGATCGTTGGAGAAACTTATGCCATGGGAAAGAAAAATGAGTTTAGCAATGATTCTAAAAGAATCGAATTTGATTACAGGTCGAGATGGTGTTGATGGGATATGCTCTCATTTTTTTAATTTGATTGAATGTGGTCTTGATTGTTTTAAAAAGTAGTGAATTTGCTTTACATTTTGATTTGAATCATCAAGATCCACCTTTGTGTTGATTTGATTTGTTAATTACAGACAAATTTGTGTCTATGATGTGGCTCTGTTTGTGGTTTACCATTGGGGTTTCGGCACTATGAAGCTAAATTTTTTTTTTTACCAGCTCTATGAACCGAAGCGGGTAAAATCGGGTTTACTCCGGTTATAATTAGGTTTACTTGGTTTGTTTATCAGTTTTGTATATAATAAACCGATTAAACCCAGCTATGTGGGGTTTTAGATCTCGAACTTTTGACTCAGGGACATTTAGCTATAGAACTTTCGATTCGGAGAGAAATAGGAATACAACTTTGATTTCATGGAGATATGGACCGAGGTCAAAGAATGGGCTCTATCTGTTATGATGCGATACTTCTCGTGGGGAAATAGACCGTTTTTCCCACGTATATATGCTAGTAAATGTGATTTATTTTATTTATTTTTTCTTTTTTTTTTGAATTTTTTTTTAATCCACTATCTCACATTTGTTTGGTACATAGCTTTTAAAATAAAATTAATTTAACTTTGTGATCCTATGTAAAAAAAAGTAGAATTTTTTCTGAATATGTCGTTGGTTGAATTATTTAAAACGGACATAAATTTTTTAAATAGTGAATGGTGTTTGTAACTAAAAATATGGTGTACTATACATAAGCACACAAAAATAGATATAGTACTATATTATTTCCTATATATTATACTTAAATCAACTTTTAACTCTAAAATACTAAACCCTAAATCCAAAAGTCTAAACCCGAATCTAAAATATATCTTTAAAAACGGTATTAATAAATTTTAAAATTAAAATAATGAATTTATTTAGAAAAATTGAATAGAACATTTTAGTGTTCTATATAGTATGGTGACGATAACAAAGAATACAAAATAGTACGCATGCTAAAGAAGGAACACTATACCCTAAGTGATACAACATAGAGAACCCAAACGACAAAGTTAAACGCACAAAAAAAAATATCATAACTTAAATACACAATATAGAAAACCCAATTTTTCGAGAAGATGTTATACCTAAAAGATAACCAAATATCTTTAATTAAACGCATGTGAAAGTATCAATCCAAAGAGCAACCAAAGAGAGATCAAAATTTCAAATCTATCTTAAAAATATATACATTTTTTTCTGAATGAAACATAGTTTGAATTTTAACAATAGGATGTGAAAAAATTATAATAGTGAATAGTGTTTGTATTTAAATACAAGGCGTACTATATAGAATCTATATGAATAGAATGTTGTACTATACTATTTTCCACAAATCTAAATAAATAAATCTTTAACTTTAAATATTAAACCTAAGAACCTTCACTCAAACCAAAAACATATGTATAAAAAAGAGTGTTATACCCTAACAAATACAACATAGAGAACATAAAATGCTGAATTAAACGCACGACTGTTGGTGTCGGATCCCGCAGTTCGGATCCGGCCCGGAAAGATAGTGGATCAATGAGACGAAATAGGCCGTCGGCCCGGTCCAGGGGACGAAAAGAGCGGCCCAATAAGTTCAAGCCCAGTTCGAGTAAAACGGCGGAATCCCGCGAGTTAAATGAAAGGCGGGTCGCACGGGATGTGCGAGATCGGGAAGATTCGAAACGGAAGCAATAATGGAGGCGAGATCTGCGGCTTGACGAGCGACTTCGGTTTCAAATCATGTAATTATAAATAGGAGACAAAAACCATTGTAGGAGAGGACGGATTTTCTTGAGCAATAAACGAATACACATACTTCACTCTTTTATTTTCTTTTTGACGATTGCTATTCGAATTAGCAAGGCTAGACGACCCGATTTACATCTTAAAATTCGTATTGCGGATTCCGACATCCACAATTTGGCGCTAGAAGGAGGGGATTTCTAGTCTTTTACTCCAGAATATCAATCGGAAAGATGTCAGACGTAGCGGATCCGGCTTCAGTCCTCGACGAGATCAAAAAGTTGCTTAAAGATCTGTCCGAGAAGACCGACCAGCAGCAGCTCGCCACCACTGCGTTGTCTGAGAAGCTTTCAGCATTTGAAGAGCAAAGCGGCAGCCAAATCGTAGTCCTCACAGCGAGTTGTTCCGAAATCAGGTCAGCCCATAATGCTTATGCGGATCGGGTTGATACAATTCTTGCAGGAACTTTGCGGACCAGCGGACCTCGCGGCCATTTGGACTTTCATGGTCCGAACGTTTCGGAGGTTCAGGATCCTAGACTCGTTTCCCCGAGCAACGTACTCCCATCTTCTTTGCCTCTTGGCTCTCAGAGTGAACCTGGAGATGGATCCCGTCATGCTCAAGCACCTCCAATTTTGGCCGGCGGTCCTTTTGTTCTAGCCAGAACACCTCTCCCCATTCATCTTGGCAGCACTCCGCATCATCCTCAAACCGAGTCCCATCCACCTCACCTTCCGGTCAACCCGGAAATCCAGAGCTTACAAAATCAGATTTGGGAAATGAGTTCGAGGGTTCATCAAGCCACCAGTTCGGCTCCCAAAGTCGATAGAGTGATCGAGGAGACGAGAAGGACTCCTTTCACTCCACGAATTGTAGCCCTGCGCATTCGAGACCAAAGGAAGGTCAAACTTCCGGGGTACGATGGTAAGGGAGATCCCAAAGAATTTTTAGCGTCTTTTCAGGTTACCGCAGGTCGGGTACATTTGGAGCCAAACGAAGTAGACGCAGGCTTATGCAAGCTCTTCGCCGAGAACCTATCCGGGCCGGCTTTGACCTGGTTTACTCAACTAGAAGAAGGATCGATCGATAGCTTCAAGCAACTATCCACTGCTTTCATCATGCAGTACGGATACTTCATCAAGAGCGATGTAACTGATGCCCAGCTGTGGAACCTCTCACAGGGAGCCGGAGAGCCGCTCCGGACTTATGTCACCTCTTTTAAAGAGATCATGGTCCAGATCCCAAACCTGTCTGATTCCGCAGCAATTGCTGCACTCAAGAATGGTTTATGGCACGAATCCCGTTTCCAGGAAGAATTGGTTGTTAACCGACCAGCCACAATTCAAGACGCCCTCCATCGGGCAACGAACTGGATAAACGCGGAAGAAGAGCGGGCCGCTCTAGCAAAAAAGTTCAAGGCAGCTCCGAAACCTGCTCAACTTCTTCCTCAGAAGAAGCCTGTTCAACCTGAAGTTCGAAAGCCTGGAGCTAGCACATTCTCAGTGGGTCGGGAGGAGCCAAAGGTTTCTCCGAAGAATTCGCCTACGAAGCAGTCTTTCTCGCCAAAGAGCAAAAACGGCGCTTTCCCGAGTAACAAGTGGATTCGTGACCCAAACGCCTACTGCGAGATCCACAAGGTCAATGGGCATGCTACGAAAAATTGCAAGGCTCTAGGGAGGTTACTGGCAGCCAAGTTCGCATCCGGGGAAATAGCCGAAATCGACGTTTCGGAGCTCGAACCAACTCATCCGTTGGAACATACAGTAGCAACAGAGGAACCGTCTCCTCCCAGCAAGAAAACCAAAAGGATCCAGTCCCCTGATGTTTTTAAAGGACCGAAGAAGCAAATCCAGGTGATTATGGGGGGATCTAAGCTCTTTCGGGATTCCATTAGTGCGATCAAGCAACACGAACGGAGGGCAACCCCCCCGATTATCAAGAAGGCCAGGCTTACTGAGGAACAGTTACCCGAAGTAACATTCTCCGAAAGCGAAACCAGTCAACTTGACAAACCACACGATGACGCTCTTGTCATAACACTCGATATTGCGCATTGCGAAGTATCTCGGGTTCTCATTGATTCTGGGAGTTCGGTGGATTTAATCTTCCTCGATACTTTGACAAGAATGGGGATATCGAAGCGAGATATAAGGGGGCCACCATCGCCTTTGGTTTCCTTTACTAGCGAAACTTCAATGTCGTTAGGAACGATTGTGCTCCCGGTATGCGCAGAAGGCATAGTCAAAATGATTGAGTTCACGGTGTTCGATCGTCCGGCTGCTTATAATGTTATCTTGGGAACACCCTGGATTTATGAGATGAAAGCAGTACCTTCAACGTATCATCAATGCTTGAAATTCCCTACGAAGTCCGGAGTAAAGCAAATCCTGGGAAGTCAGCGAGCTGCGAGGATGTGTTACATGTCCAGTCATAAGCTTAAAATTCAATAGCAACCACAGTTCGAGGTGCCTGCAAATCCCGTCAAAAAAATAAGCAGTGACCTCGTGGAGGCAGTGGTAGTTAATGAGGAGTATCCAGATCAAACTGTGAGAATAGGAGCGGGATTAAGCGAAACTCTCCGAGCCGAACTAATAACTTTCCTAAAAAGGAATCAAAAAACTTTCGCCTGGAAAATCGAGGAGATGACTGGGATCGATACAAAGGTCATTTCGCATGAGCTCAACATTGACCCGACTTTCAAACCAGTAAAACAAAAACGCAGGAAACTTGGTCCAGACCGAGCCGAGGCTGTAAATGCCGAAGTTCAGCGCCTGCTCGATGCCGGTTTGACTCGCGAGGTCAAATATCCGGACTGGTTGGCAAACCCTGTTGTAGTCAAGAAGAAAAATGGGAAATGGCGGGTTTGCGTAGATTTTACCGATCTTAATAAAGCCTGTCCCAAAGACAGTTTCCCACTCCCGCACATCGACCGACTTGTGGAGTCAACTACGGGCCACGAAATGATGTCCTTTATGGATGCTTTTTCTGGGTATAATCAAATTTTGATGAGTCCGGAAGACCAGGAAAAGACAGCTTTCATCACGGACCGTGGAACTTACTGTTATATAGTCATGCCGTTCGGATTGAAGAATGCCGGAGCCACTTATCAACGGTTGGTGAATATGATGTTCAAAGATCTACTCGGTAAAACGATGGAAGTGTATATTGATGATATGTTGGTGAAGTCAATATCAAGCACTTCCCATATTGAGCATCTAGAGCAGTGCTTCGCAATTTTGAATAAGTTCAGAATGAAGCTGAACCCGACCAAGTGCACTTTTGCAGTTCCTTCGGGAGAGTTTTTGGGTTACATTGTCACGGAGCGGGGAATCGAAGCTAATCCGCGACAGTTGAACGCTTTTCTGGCAATGACTTCGCCTCGCAACATCCGGGAAGTTCAGCGACTCACAGGGCGGATAGCAGCCTTGAACCGATTCATCTCGAGGTAAACCGATAGGTGTCTTCCATTCTATGATCTGCTCCGAAAAGCAAGCAAGAATTTCATCTGGGATGAGAATTGCGAAAAGGCTTTCAAAAATCTAAAAGATTGTTTGTCCAAACCTCCTGTGTTAGCGAAACCCGAGTTCGGAGAAGAGCTTTTCTTGTACGTATCGGTTTCCGACAGCGCAGTAAGTGGAGTGTTAGTGCGATTGGATCGGAACGAGGAAAAACCGATTTTCTATGTAAGCAAGTCTTTTTCGGGAGCGGAGTCAAGATATCCGATGATAGAAAAGCTAGCTCTGGCAGTAATTACTTCGGCTCGGAAATTAAGACCGTATTTTCAATCTCATACGGTTATTATCCTAACCACGCAACCTTTAAGGGCAATTTTGCATAGTCCGAGTCAGTCAGGAAGATTGGTTAAATGGGCAATTGAGCTAAGCGAGTATGATATTCAGTTCCGAACAAGGACAAGCTTGAAATCTCAAGTCCTCGCAGATTTTCTGATCGAACTACCTCTGGACTCCGTGGAAGTCAAAGAAAATGAAGGACCTTGGATACTTCATGTGGACGGCGCGTCCTCAAAACAGGGTTCCGGGATCGGTATCCGATTATGATCCCCGTATGGTGAGGTAATTGAATAGTCATTTCGTCTCGCATTTAATGCGTCAAATAACGAGGCGGAGTACGAGTCTCTCCTTGCAGGACTTCGTCTAGCGGTTGGGATAGGTGTCACAAAATTACGGGCATTTTGCGACTCGCAGCTCGTTGCTAATCAATTTTCCGGTGATTATGAAGCAAAAGATGGTAGAATGGAAGCTTACCTCGCTCAGGTTCAGGAATTGAGTAAAAAGTTTCTAAGTTTCGAACTCACTAGAATTCCGCGAGGTGAGAACTTAGCGGCAGATGCGTTGGCGGCATTGGCGTCGAGTTCCGAAGTAACAGTGAGCCGAATGATCCCTGTCGAAGTAATTGAACATCCCAGTATAGCCACCGGAGAGCTGAACTTCGTGACTACACGGTCTATGCAAAGAAGGATGAGTGTGGAACAAGAACCACAAAGGGTCGAGGAAACTGAGCAGAACTCCGAAGTAGAATCACTAATCGGAACACCGCTAAATCCGGAACCACTACCAGCGCTACCGCTTCCGGATTGGGGGGCAGACTGGCGGATCCCCATCAGAGAATACATCCTTAATAGTACTCTTCCTGCGGATAAGTGGGAGGCACGGAAGTTGAAAGCTAAAAGTGCTCGTTTCTGCATTTTGAGTGACATCCTCTACAGAAGAAGCATCTCGGGTCTTGACATGATCTGTATTTTCGGACAGCAGGTCCGTACTGTGATAAAAGAGATTCATGACGGAGTATGCGGAAATCACTCCGGAGGTCACTTTTTGGCTTATAAAGTAAGAAAGTACGGATATTTCTGGCCCACGTTAATCGCGGATTGCGAGGAGTATGCGCGGAAGTGCGAGCAATGCCAGAAGCATGCGCCTTCAATTCACCAACCCACCGAGCCATTATCATCAGTCTCTTCGCCTTATCCATTTATGAAATGGTCTATGGAAATTATTGGGCCTCTTCATGTTTCTACTCGTGGAGTGAAATTTGTCTTGGTACTTACCGATTATTTCTCGAAGTGGGTAGAAGCGGCAGCCTACGTAAACATAACTCAGGTTCAAGTTCGCAAGTTCATTTGGCAGGACATCATTTGTAGGCACGGTTTGCCATATGAGATCGTTACTGATAACGGACCTCAGTTCATTTCACGGCAATTTGAATCTTTCTGCGAAGAATGGCAGATCAGACTCAGTCGATCAACGCCTCGTTATCCGCAGGGTAATGGTCAAGCTGAAGCAATGAACAAAACTGTTCTGTCTACTTTGAAGAAAAAACTCAAGTCGCACAAAGGAACTTGGTTCAATGAACTACAGAGTGTTCTCTGGGCAATTCGCACTACTCCTAGGCGTGCAACTGGTGAAACACCATTTTCATTAGTTTATGGAATGGAGGCTGTAATCCCTGCTGAAATATCTGTGCCAAGTTTGAGACGGATGAATAACCCGCAGAACGAGGCAGCGAATAGCGAACTGATGGTGGACGTCATTGATACCATTGAGGAGCGACGAGATCGAGCTTTGATTCGAATGCAAAATTACCAGAATGCCGCAGCTCGATACTATAATTCGACTGTCCGAAGTAGGCATTTTGATGTTGGGACATTAGTATTACGCAGAGTTCAGCAAAATACAGCCGAAGACGGAGCGGGAAAGTTAGGCGTGAACTGGGAAGGTCCTTATCGAATTATTCAGGTAGTTCGCAATGGAGTTTATCGCCTTGAAAACATGGAAGGAAAAGCAGTCCGAAGAGCTTGGAATTCCATTCATCTGAAGAGATACTTTATTTAAGTATTTTATTATTTTCATTATTGTAAATCGAACTACGATAGACTTGATCCCCACCTTTGGGTACGTAGGCAGCTCGAACTTCGAGTGCAGTCTCTAAATCAAATAAAATGTTTATATTCTTCTAAACATTTTTCAAAGAAGCCGAGAATAATCTCGCAATCCGTGAAACCGAGAAGAACCTCGTAACTACTTTTCTCGAAACCGAGCTTAGACCTCTGGTAATTCTTGAAAGATAAGCCTAAGTTTTACTTAGCAAAAAAAGGGTCTAGTTCAACACAGACTAGGGATTTCTGCGGACTCCGAGTCCCGATCCTCATCTTTTTTATTAAGAACACCCACTTAACTCTCGTTCTTAGTATTTTCCTTATCCATTGAAGAATGAATTCTGAGTTCGTGTAAACTGCGTATCTCGTTGAAATCTTAAGTATTTCTTAATTTTTCGTACGAGGTATTCAAATTTCTCGAATACTCCGGATTTAAAATTCAAAAGGACTTATATAAAAATATAAGGGGAATATTCAAGTCTTCAAAAAAAATAAATAGGTTTTGGGTTTAAAAATAAAAACAACAAAGGGGGGCACTAGCCATCACAACTCCGGAACCAGATCATTGACCCTTGACGTCGGGATCTTGCTGCATCTCCTCGGGCAGAACGGCGGCTTCGAAGTCCTGGCCAGTCATGAAACCTTTATTAGTTCCGAACTCATCAATGGCGACATCATCTTCGGGAAGAGATGTCTCTTGCACGGGCTCTGGGGGAGTCGCAACAAAGAGATGAGCGAACTCATTTGGTTGAGTTCTGAGAGCGCTTACCTCGCGAGCTTTCTTCTCAGCCTCTTCCTCGTCTTTCTTTACCGACTCTAGTTCGGCTTTTAAGTCCGGAATCTCTCCCTTCAGAATCTCCTCAAGAAGCTCTCGGTTCGCCCGAGTCTCGGCAAGACGCGTCCCAATCATCTCATTATCACTGATGGCCTGGTAGTAGGTCTCATGCTTCGAGGCGAGTCCGCTATAGAGTTCACGGAGCCTCAACCTTTCATCTTTTTTCGCTGCTGCGAGCTCCTCGTCCCGTTTCTCAGCAGCGATCTTGCACCATTCCTCGCTTCGCTTAACTTCAGCTTCCAGCGAGGTAATCTTTTCACATGCCTCGAGATACAGGTTCTTCCCGATCTTCAGCTTCTCGGAAAGATCAGTCTTGGCAATGTCAAGAAGGTTGCAGCGACCTTCGGCCTCCAGCATTCGCTCCCGGATCTCGTTTGCCTTTGCCACCGCCCTGGCATTTTCTTCCTCCATCTCCTTGAGTTGACAAACTTCTTCTTCGAGTTCGGCGACCCGGGCCCTGAGACCATCCAGCTCGTTAACAGGAAAGAGCTGGGACTCGTGGCAGGAGAAGGTGGTGTTGTACTCGAGCATTAACTGTCAAAACAAAGATTCATGAGGACGGAAAGAAAAGTTCTTATTTTTATGAAAGGAGGAGAAGAGTTCAAAGAATTACCTCTCCGAGTTTATCAGCGAAGCGAAAGTAGTTCGCTCTGTTGACCTCCTTCAAGTCACTAAAGGGAGGAATCCTCATCCCAACAGGAGTAAAGTTCCTCATGAAATCAGCTGGTGACTTCGGAGGAGCTGTTAAAATAAAATAAAACGTCAAAATGAACTCGTAGCGAGAAAAAAATACGAAGTGACTCTACTTACCAGTGGGGATCGGAATCTCCTGACGGACGGATCCCCGGTTCTCAGAGTCCCGCGAAGGCAGGACAAGAAGCTGAGTTGGCAAGTCGGACTCCGGGGCCCGTTGTGGATCTTCTTTTTCTTCTGGTTTTGACCCCAGACTGGTCCCAGCATCCTCGGAAGGATTTTTCTCGTCGTTCAGACGAGAACGACTCTTGCGTTGGAGGGAAGGAACTTCAGATTCCTCGTTCCTGCGTTTCCTTGAGGAGGTTGCACTATGACCTCCTTCGGAAGTTTCTTTTTCCCGAGAAGATCGGGAGGAGCGAGAATCCGAGATCCGGATTAGGTCTTTTCCCGAAGACACCTTCTTCAGATCACGGTGATCAGATGTCTTCGATTCGGAAATCGGATCTACGGTACCCGAGTTCTTCCCTTTACCAGATGAAGATCTAGACTTCCCTTCATCCAAGGCCTTCACCATCCTGGCCTTATCTTCTTTCTCTCTCGCTTCTCTCGCTTTTTCCCTTTCCTTTTGGAGCCTCTTCTCTTCGCGGTAGGAAAGTGGAGACATGTTAGTGGCGACAGTAGGGGAGGAGGGAGGAGTGGAGGAAATGAGGTCGGATCGCGAGACAATTCGAGCACACGAACTCCGGATGCGTTCGCAAGTGAACAATTCCCACGACAGGTCGCTGCTATTGCAAATCTTTACGAATTGCCCCGCAAAAGTATGAGAAAGCGTTTTCTTCGGAGGTTTAGCTGCAAAAGCAAAAACATTGACGGATTAGAAAGGAAAAAAAAGACGAGTGAAAAGCAGTGAAAAACCTAAGGAGCTATCTACCGGGACGACGAGTCCATTCACGAACGAAGTAATCCGTGTTTGGACCATAAGAAAATTCGTCTACAGCAAAGAAGAAGTAGGACTTTCTCCATTGCTCGTCCTTTTCGGGAAAATCCCCGAAGACTCTGAATTTACTCCGAGGACTGAGGAAAAACGTCCCCGGAGTTCGCCCCTTCTTTACTGTATAAAGATGGAGTACGTCGGATAGCGTGATACGGTATCCATTTTCCTCTGCAAGGGTCTGGAGGCACAGGACGGTCCTAACTACATTTGGACATAGTTGAGGAAGTGCGATTCCGAACTCGTGCATCAATTCGACCAAAAGGCCGGGAAGCGGAAAAGATAGCCCGCATTCCGAAAAGAAAATTTCAAAAGCGCAAGTGTGACCGGTAGGTGGAGACTCCGGAGAATCTGTCGGACCTGGAGTAATCAAGGAGACTCGACGAGGGATCTGGCAGGCGCCTCTCAGCAGAGCCAGCTTTTTATTGTCGAGATTCGAAGAAAGATACTTCCCGAACTCGCCCTCCATGATATGAGTCTCATTCTGGATCTTCCTGCTTCGCTTCGGAGCCATAACGTAATTAGGGAAGATATAGAGACGAAACAAGATCTGGCGCCAGGGATTTGGGAAGATTTTTCAAGAACAGCTCAAGAACACGCTTGAGCAAACTTCGAAGATCTTCGTGAAAACCCAGAAACCGGAAAGATTAAGCGGTTGACGTTCTTCGGAAAACGGTTGCGATTCAACGGAATATCAAGAACACGGCGGAGGAGTTGAAGAACAGCGAACAATTTCGGAGCAGAGGGCTGAAAATCTAAGAAATCTTTTAGATCTCTGGCCTAAATCTAGCACGGAACTAATCTAGAGCGGTGAACTAACACGAATCCGGAACTAAGTAGCAAGAGCTAAAGCGTAATCGGTAGAGTGTTAAGAGAGAAAAGAGGAGAAGGTTCAGTACCTTAAATAAGCAGACGACGAAGGTGAGCGAGCTTGAAGCGGTTGTGCAGAACCCGAAGAGTCCAATCAAGTATTAATAGGAATCTCTGGCGGGAATATGGAAGCACTAGGAACTCGAAACGCCGCCCTCATCCCGAGAAGAATCCCTCGATCCGCGGAAAAATTTATATCCTAAAGATCTCGAAACGTCACTTCGGTCGAGGAACCAAATCCCGGGGAAAGCGGAATTAATGACGAAATCTCCGAGCCCGAGAAGAGTTTGTTATTTAAAGTATCCCGAAGTTAATACTTCGGAACACTTGGGGGGCAAACTGTTGGTGTCGGATCCCGCAGTTCGGATCCGGCCCGGAAAGATAGTGGATCAATGAGACGAAATGGGCCGTCGGCCCGGTCCAGGGGACGAAAAGAGCGGCCCAATAAGTTCAAGCCCAGTTCGAGTAAAACGGCGGAATCCCGCGAGTTAAATGAAAGGCGGGTCGCACGGGATGTGCGAGATCGGGAAGATTCGAAACGGAAGCAATAATGGAGGCGAGATCTGCGGCTTGACGAGCGACTTCGGTTTCAAATCATGTAATTATAAATAGGAGACAAAAACCATTGTAGGAGAGGACGGATTTTCTTGAGCAATAAACGAATACACATACTTCACTCTTTTATTTTCTTTTTGACGATTGCTATTCGAATTAGCAAGGCTAGCAACCCGATTTACATATTAAAATTCGTATTGCGGATTCCGACATCCACAACGACGAATAAAGAACGCTATACCCTTATAAGGGATACAACATAGAGAACCCAAATGACCAAATTAAATGCATATCAAAGAAAGGAAGTAATACCCCTAAATAATACAACATATAAAACCCAATTTTTCGAGGTAAACACATGTCGAATAAGGGACATTGTACCTATAAAATAACCTCACGCTATTGTTTTATTCTCGTGTTTTGTATAGTACAAAAATGTTTGTATTTATAATCATATTTTAGTTCGTTATAAATTTTTATCAAGTTTTTAAAAATTCATACAAAATAAGTCTTAAGTCTTTTTCTTTTAAAGAATCATGAACGTAAATATATATATGTTTTTAAGTGAGAATATGAAATCTGAAAATTTTGTGTGAAGATATTCAGTGCAAATATAAATGAAAGAATAAAAAAAAACTGAAAGAAAAGAAGAGTGAAGAAAGGAGGGGAGGAGAAAACCGGTGTGAAGAAAAGAAAGTGTGACGTAAATGAGAGAGAGCAATGATAACTGTTAGTCATGCAACAAGGACATATTTGTCATTATTATAGATAGGCATGGACAAATAAACCGAACCGAAACCGAAGAAAAAAACCGAACCGAACCAAAAATTTGAAAATAACCGAATAGATAGTAAATTTAATAACCGAAATAACCGTAATCGAATCATTACCGAACCGAAATATTTCGGGTAACCTAAATATCCGAAACACAATTATATTTTCAAAATAATTAGTTATTTATAGACCAAATAATCAAAAATACTTGAAAAATATGTAAAAATAGTTAAAATACTCGAAAATAACCAAAATATATCCAAAAATATAAGAAAATACTCAAGAATAACCGAAATATCCGAAAATATCATAAGCAAAATAACCGAATGGATACTAAATTTTAAAACCGAAACAACCGGAACCGAACCGAAACCGAACCGAAATTTTAAAATATCCGAATGGATACTAAATTTTGAAACCGAAAGAACCGAAACCGAATGGACCCAACCGATAATATAAAGTATATTGTAGGTTAATGGTTACTATGCTTATTTTGTTAAATAAAGTTGTTTTTTTGGTTATAGCCTCCAATTCCTTTTTTTTAAATGAAATTACAAAATTTAAACAAATCATATAAAAAACTAGTTATAAATATAAACAAAGGGAGAATAAAAAAAAGAAATAGAAAAAGAGAGAAATGATGGGAAGATGACTAAAGGGTAAAGCTGTCATTAATACACATAATACAAAGAATATCATAGATGCATGGTTAGTATGGTTAGTTGTTGAATTATAATTTTTTTTGTTGGTTATAGAATGCAATTCCCCTTCTATTAACTAACATTTTTTTTTGTTTTTGAGAGGGTTGGTTTCTCTTTTTAATAAGGGGTGTTATTGAATGAGTTTGTATCTAATTTGTAAATATCATCAATTTTAAATTTTATGGTTTTCAATTCTATCACCCTCTCACAAATTGACCATTTTTATCGTTTATTTCGAACCGATTTTTGATTTTAGAATAGAATCGGTAATAAATCATGTTTGATTTTAATTCATTTAGGTCAACAAATTGAACTAGGATTATAATTAATATCAAAAATCACTAAGATAGTATATTGGTATAGAGGCTACAAGAATGTTTCTTCCTATTGTTGTTATATGTTTACATTTTTTTACCAAAACAAAAAACTTCTTTTGAAGTTCTTGAACTACTAAATTATAATTATTTTAAATAACTAAAACCACTATGAACATAAAAAATTTCGTTCTAGGTTTTCACCAGATTAATATCATTAACTTTGTTTGAATAGACATATGTTGAACACAAATGTGTCGTTGAGCCAATCTAATAAAGGTATTGACAAAAAAAAAATGTGTCTATAATTTACGGTTCCCTTCATTAAATCCAAGAGAGATCAAGCAAAAGTTTCAAATATAACTATGGTTGCACATAATTGGAAGGTGTTGCTCTTATGAGTTATAGGATGGGTAGGGGCATACACCATCAAAAGTCATTAACCCTCCTCTCTCATAGCTCATAAGAACCTTCCAATAATGTGCAACCATAATTAAATTAGAATGAAGGGAATCGTAAATTATAGACACATTTTTTTTTTGTCAATAGCTTTATTAGATTTAGGGTTGAAGATCAAAGGGTTAACTTTAATTGTTTCCACTTTTCCAAGTTTTCATATTTTTTTTTGTTCCTTGATCTCTTGCCATGTGTGTTTCCGTCCCAAATCAAAACTAAAAGATAGTGCTAACTCGTAAGACCTTTTTGCCCAAAAAAAGAAAAAAAAAAAAAAACTCCTAGAACCTTTATATATTTTTAAAAAATCTTTGTTATTTACTTACAATTCCATTTTTTTTTCATTTTTCTAATTTATATATATAATGGGAGAGTTGTCTCTCCATCTAAGGTGTTCACATCATCATCCAAGTCATCCTATTTTAGTTTTGTGTGAGCTCCACTTATCTTATTATCAAAAACTATAAATGTTAAATCTAAATTAATTTGCACACTTGATATTATACTTTCATTAAAAAAAATAGTTTACAAAAAAAATGAAAAAATAAATACATAAGACAAAATGTGAAAATTTTGAAGTTGATGTGTGTGATATCTTAACATATAATGATTAAATATATTTAAATAGTTAGAGATAGGAAAAAATAAACTTATCATATATTTTAATGGTACAATAATCACTTTTAAAAGTTACAGTTATTTAGTAGAATAAAGAAAATGAGAGTTAAAAAATACCAAATTTAAAGGTTCTTACGGAAAGAAATAATAATTCATTTCTGAAAAATACACATTTTGAGATATATTTGTGAATGTTAAAGTATCAATTCATGATACCGGCTAAAAATAAGAAGGATTGAGTAAAAATTATATTTATAATTATAATTATAACATAAATAGTTAAATTAATAAATGTGTCTATATTATTAATGTTTTCTAAATTAATATAGGTTTTTCATAGAAAAATGAATACCTAAGAAAGAAAAACTAAATATTAATCAATGCTTAGGAAATTAACATAGATCGGGTGATTTGAAATAAAATAAAAAGCTATCCTAAACATCAAAAATAAAAATAAAATAATCTAATCGAAAAATAAAACAGTGTAATAATATTATTGAGAATGCTATTTGGAAATCAGAATAGTACTGGTAGATTGAAGAATTTTTAATTGGAATAAGAATGATTTTGTTTTCAAAAAAATTAACGCAGTTTAAAATTATTCTACTTTTAATGAGTGCGGAAATTACATATTTTAAAGAAAATAAACAGTAAGAATATTATCTAGAATCATAATATATATATATATATATATATATATATATATATATGTGAAATGAGAATTTTGTATTTTTCAAACAATCAAAGAGAAAAGGAAAATTTTTACATGAAAATCCAATGTTTGTGAATAAGAATTGAGTTTATATATGAAATTTTTTGGTCTATAAACAATTTTACATGCACCAAAATATGGTTGAGAAACCTTATGACAAAACATTTCTTCTTATTTTTTTTATGTTCATTTTAATAAAAAGATCATGCAATTTATAAAAAAATATTGAATATTCAAAAATAGGAAGGAAAAAATTATACTATATATCCTGAGAACTAATTAACAGTCTGAGTATATTATATAAAGTGAAAAGAGAGTAGATATCGGAAGACGACAAGTGAATCATAGAAGATAACGAGAAAAATTGTAGTAAAAAATCTGAGTCATTTTTATTACTTTCGAAAGATAATGCAGATAAATAAAATAAAATCTTTTAACATTCAAATGATTAGATTTATACTCAAAAATTCGTATTGATAAAAATTAAAATTAAAAATCTTGCGGAGTGCGCGGATACATAATCTAGTTAGTTATCAGTAATTGTCTAACTCTTCAAATCATTTGTAATTATAGGTTACGTGTCCCCCATTAATGGTGAAAAATTATATTCATAAATCACAACAAACTATTCACTTTCGCATATCTTGCATGATAAATCCCAAATTTTGACTAGTTATCACGTTATTTGAAAGTATTGCAATATTAGGCTAGAAAAATGAGGTAATGATCATCACAAGAAGTCAAGAAGCACCCTGATGTCGATCTCCGGCAACTCTTCAAACAGCTAATTTGTTCTCTCTTTTTTCTTTTTCTTTTTTTTGGTTCAACCAAGTAAGTTGTTTCTTATAGTAACAATTGAATAACACAGTAAACTCTTTTGAATTTTAAACAGAAACTCCAACGTCCAATATAGCTCCCCTAAATTTAGAGTTAGACTTTTGACTATAAAATCTTTTAAGTCTGTGTTTGACAAAAAAGAAAGAAAAATCTAAAATCTTCACTCAAACTCCATTGAAAAAAACATGACCAATCTAATAACCACACCGACTAGTCTTTCTTTAGGTCGACTTGCTTAACATCAATTATAGCCATATCTACATTGCTTCTCCTTAAAATTTGGTCACACTCATCATCAATCAAAGCTTTTCACAACTTTCTTTGAGATTCACAACTTTATACTTAACTCTCAGAAAATGTGACAGTCACCCCACAAACTTACCGCCAAGGCGGCTCTAAGAAACCAAATTCACTACCTCAAAGACTGAATCATAGAGAGAAAATAAGAATTGTAGTAATAGAATCTTCGAAACCAATCAATAATCAATCAATTAATCAATGGTGCTTCTACTATTAGTTAGCAGTAATCAATCAATGGTGCTACAGAACTATTGGCCAATTAAGGAAGTGGTGGATGAGGCCAAGAACAAAGAACACATCCCTCATTAGTAATAGTGTTTGAGCACAGAATAAAACTCAGGTTTTGTAACTTTTGTTAAATCTCTATAATCAGTGCACAAAACATGAAATTGGAAATGTAACAAAATCTATCTGTTCCCATAACCACAAGAAACTACTAGTTGAATTCCAAAAAATACTAAGTGACAAAGTCATCATCAAAACTTAACAATCACAAAAACGCCAATAAACGCAATATCAGATCGGAAACGACAACGCACCAAATCGATGAATCGCAGTCCAAATCGACGTTTCCTTACTGAGATTTTTTTCTCTGAGGTGGACGATCAGAGGCCAATCTATAAATCCAGTAAACCTAGAAAATCACATAATCCGAAACCAGATCAACGATAGTATTCGAAACAGAGAGGCACAAGGAAATAAGTAAAACGATAAGAAGTACCAAGGCGATAACGTGAACTGCGGCGAGAAATACAACCATCGCCGGTACTAGATCCACAGACTTCTCCATCTCTCAATCGGATTCGATCTTTCTCTTTACTTCACCGAAATTTCTCTGCCGGAGACGACGACTAAGGTTAGTCTATGTGAGAGAAACAGTCGTCGTCGATTTATCCCTTCTCCGATTTGAAATTTTTGCAATTCTGTTTGGGAACAGAAGCAATAATATCCTTATGGGCCTAAGGCTTATGGGCCTGATACGGCCCAGATAAATTATACGACTCCGACTAAACAGTAACGACGACTGTCTCGGAATTTGACACGTGTCATGGACGTGGCGACTAAGTCTCGGTGGCTTTGCTTTCTGTTGCTTCCTTTGGCTCTTACGTGGAGAGAGAGATACTCAAAACTTTCTTCTTCTTCTTCGGACGGACGATCTCGTTTACGCATTTTATCGAACAGTTTCTGTGCATAAAAGCTACGAGTGGTGAATCAAACGGACTATGGGATTTTCGCTTGCTTTTGGATTGAATAAATCGTCGTCTCGTTCTTGTTGTTAGCCGATGAGGAATGTCGTTGTTGCTCTCCGCCATCACCGCCGTGTTTCGCTGCTCCGGAGAAGTACGCTTTTTCTTCTCTTTATAGGTCTTGCATTATCTGGAAAATTTGATGTGATTCGGTAGAAATTGCGGGTGTGGATGATTTTCGTGTTGAAATTTTGGATTTCTGACTCGAGAATCCACTTGATTTACTAGAATTGTGATTAGAAAATTTCTGCGTTTGGGGAATTTGGAAACTGGGCTGTTAGTTTTGTAATGCTGATTACTCTTTGCTTTGTAATTCCATCGTTGCTCAAGCTCAGTTTCAGTGAAGTTTTCAGTGTTATCTTTGCTAGATCAGCCCAAGGGTGTAGAAGACGTGTATTATGCTAAAATAGTGATGAATGTTGCTACTTTTCTATTTTCCTTTTGGAGATTGAACTTTATGTTGATGAGGTTGTTGTTTTTGTTATAGTTGTAGCGTTACGTGATGATAAAACTATTGACTTCAAGCTTGGGGAGTACATATCCAGAGGGAAGGATAATGGGCTCTCAAGACAGACAAATACATGGGTTTCACCATTTTGCTTGCAACAGAGAACGTGAGTTCTTGATCATGCTGAGTAATTTATGGATACACAACCTATCAGGATTTGGGGCTAATTATTTTTTGAAAATGGGTTTGCAGGTATTCGACGGGTTTCACCAGCGTACATGGTGGAATACCTACGGCAGAGTATGCAAAGTTGCGGAGAGAATCCCTTGAAACTGAATTTGGACATGCCCTAGGAGCATATAGCTCGAAAAGTTTTTCTGCAGTGTATCGTTTTGGCCCCTTTTTGGCATTGTATAGAGCTGCAATCATTTCCTACCATGTGGTGAAGCTTGCCTTTTGGCAGCTGTTTGTTCAGGATATGAGGAAACGGGCTGTCAAGGTCTGTAAAATTTGCGATCTATGGTGATTCGTTGTTTGCCGATACTTGTTTAATTAGTTAACATGAAGAGTACTTTTTGGATACTTGGTTTGGACAAAAAATTATTTGATAGTTACTTTATCACATTTTGGATGCAGTTCCGTGAGACTCTTATCAGCTTGGGGCCTTTCTACATTAAGGCATGTTACTTATTCGCTATTCCAATACTCCCCAAAATATACCAATCTTAGTATTTTTTAAAAATCCTCGCTAAATAATACATTATTTTGACTTGCAGCTTGGACAGGCACTGAGCACGAGACCAGACATATTACCATCTATATATTGTCAGGAACTTTCAAAGTTGCAGGTGGGCAATCTTTCTTTCTTTCAAATAATCCATATGGCTATGCTTGAATAATTGGATAATGTATTTTTTCTTGATGATTATAGGACCAGATTCCTCCATTTCCAACTACTATTGCCATGCGATGTATTGAAGAGCAACTGGGTGCTCCAGTGTCAAAACTTTTTGCAGATATTAGTCTTAAACCTGTTGCTGCTGCATCCCTGGGTCAGGTATACAAAGGTTAGATACCTTTTAACTGTGGTCGACTATTTTATTTTGGTCTCTACTGTTATTCTCCTTTCCATTTTTCTCAATTTAAAGTTACTAGAAGCTAAATGTTTCATTTTTTCCCATAAGTATTGCAGCTCATCTGCATTCTGGACAATTGGTAGCCGTTAAGGTTCAGAGACCTGGAATGTCACTCATTCTAACACGTGATGCCCTCTTATTCAAAATGATTGGCGGACAACTGAAACGATTTGCGAAAGCCCGTAAGGATCTTTTGGTAGCGGTGAATGAGATGGTCAGTCATTTATCTGATATGTTCGAACTAGTTTTCTGCTTACCTATGTTATACGAACATCTTCATGTCTCTCTTCGATAAACAGGTCAGGCATATGTTTGACGAAATAGATTACGTTCTCGAGGCAAAAAATGCAGAACGATTTGCTTCTCTATACAGTTTTGACTCATGTAGGTTCGCTTGTATTAATTTGTCCATTCTCTTTGGAAATATCATTACCAAATAAAATGTATTTTTGAACATTGCCAGGGAATGAGCAGATTAATGTTAACGATGGACCTAGGAATAAGTCCAGGAATCACAGAGCAGAGAACATCAAAGTCCCTAAAATTTACTGGAATTTTACACGCACAGCAGTTCTCACAATGGAATGGATCGATGGCATAAAATTAACAGATGAAATTAAGCTGAAAAGGGCTTCCCTTGATAGAAGGGACTTGATCGATCAGGTAACAAAATAACTGATACCTAATTATAAATTAACGTCCATTAGTCAGAAAGTGGCAAATGAATCCGTGGATTGAACTTTTTGATTCTGAGAGATAGATTGGGACTTAGTATGGTGCCTGTAAATGTTCCATTAAGAACCTTGTATTGCTCTGGTTCGCAGGGCTTATCCTGTTCATTAAAACAGCTTCTTGAGGTTGGGTTCTTTCATGCTGATCCGCACCCAGGAAATCTTGTCGCTACTAAAGAAGGGTCTCTTGTTTACTTTGACTTCGGAATGATGGGAAATATTCCACGCCATTACCGTGTTGGACTTATTCAAATTGTAAGCTCTACTTCAGTTTATCCTTGCCTTTTCTATGTCTTATATATGCTTGCGGTCTTTCTTGCTTCTTTTCGATTTTGCTTATATGCGGCTTAAGATGGCGAAAGAATAACTTTTCCATCTGAGATTGTGTTTCCGTCATTTTGTCAATTTTGAGTAGTTCTATTGCTATTACAGCTGGTGCATTTTGTCAACCGTGATTCTCTAAGTTTGGCAAATGATTTCCTGTCCTTGGGATTTTTGCCTGAAGGGGTCGATATACAAGCAGTTTCAAATGCTTTGCGTGCTTCATTTGGTTCTACTACGAGGATATCACAAGATTTCCAGGTATCTTCATCTTGTGATGAAAATTACATTAAACCCTAAACACATTCACTAAAAGATACAATTGTGGCAAAGCCTTAATTAGATACAATTGTGGAAAATGTTTCAACTAAACACGCAAGTCGGAAAAGGCACATTTGAAAATGATTTATTTACAACATTATGGTTTTAGAAAGCCACAGAGGTAGAGAAAACTTATTAGGAGTGTAATAGTAGGAGCCTGGTTGTTTTACAATGATGGTAATTGGACCGACCTCATTAGCATTTTCTTTGCTTCTGCTAGAATGACTTATGTTTGGAAGCTATCTCATGCATCAAACTAAAATCTCAGCATCATGATAGTCCCAAACATTGTATGGCTACTAAAAATTTGAGAAAGGAATTCGGATTTCTGAGAGATATGTATTATTCTGTACTGATGTTTTCCTGCTGTTAGTAACCCAATCAGCAACTGACATTGTCATAGTTAAGTTAATTTCTTGTTTGGTGAGATTCCATCGACAGGATTCTTCACCGCAATTATTGTTTGACCCTGTCCTATCATTGTGAGTTTACCCAAACTCATCGTGGCGACATCTACCATAATCCTTACATTTTGCTGTACAGGGGGTAATGGAACAATTATATGATGTTATGTACGAGTTCAACTTTTCGCTGCCTCCAGATTATGCTCTTGTTATAAGATCTCTTGGTTCACTGGAAGGCACGGCTAAGATTCTTGATCCAGAGTTTAAAGTGATCGAGAGCGCATATCCATTTGTTATCGGGAGGCTATTAGCAGATCCAAGCCCAGATATGAGGAAAATTCTAAGGGAACTTGTCATTTGTAATGATGGATCAATAAGGTGGAATCGTCTTGAACGCCTGGTACTGTCATATAGCTCTTCTTGTTAGGATTATTGAATAATCTAAAGAATGAGCAGCTAACAAGCTCTATTTCCAGGTAGCAGCTATATCAGAACAGGCTTCTGCGACTTCAGGAGACTCTCGAGAAGATAAAACGTTGAAGAAATCATCGGAACTAAAATCATTCGACATGCATTCAGTAGTTTCCGCCACAGAAGATCTGCTACTGTTCATATTATCAGAGAAAGGGCAGAGAGTTCGAGTCTTCCTTCTACAGGACATAATTAGAATGGTTGACATATTCCTGGAAGAAGCGGCTCTTGATCTTAACACGAAAAAGAAGCAGACCATCAATCTTAAGAGGGTCAGTAAAATCATGAATCAAAACCTTCCCTTTTTCTTTCTTTCGCAACGGAATCTTGTAAAAAAAAAACTTGTTAATTCAAATCTGCAGGAAGAAGGGACAATGAAAAGAGTGAGCAATGGATTCAAGTGTCTGAATGAAGCGGTGAAGCTTGCACCTGGAATGTGGATATCAATGCTTCTTCGGATGTCAAGGAAGTCTGAGGTTCATAGTTATGCTTTAGATATTGTTTCTGCATTGTCTACACATTTTGGCCACAAAGTGCCTCACACTTGTTGGATCCTTTTCTCAAAATTGCTCCATCACAGTAGGAGCCAATAAGTATTATACTCGGGTCTTTTGATCTTCCCAAAGGTGTTACATTCGTTTATAACGTTGGCTCTTAGTAAGATTAGGTTTGCTTTGTGGTTGTGATACGTCAAGAGTCTTCTCTTTCTTCTTATTCGGTTTTGATAGAGCTTCTTCCCCATATTTTCAGTCGTAGATGTCGTTGGATTTTTTGGCGTTCAATTTAACCGACGCTGCAACTCCCAACTCATTTGTCTCTCACATGTAAGCTATAGCTGGTTTTAGAACCGAGTTGAAAATTTGTTAGGGACGAGGCACGATGTGGCAGTGGAGGTTTTCCGGCGTGACATGTGGGCGGACATGTGTCCTAACGCAACACCAAGCTCATCCACGAGCCATTCATTCGACTAAGTAAGGTGACAAAACTGCTTTCTCCGTTTGATAATTTATAGGGTATTTGTGTAATACGAATGAGAGAAACTGGATTTTTATGTTCAAAGTAAGAAATGGAAATGATAATCATCTCTGTCTGCCTAGCAACAATCCTAGCCTTTCTTCTCCTAAAACCACTTCTGAATCGAACCGCTGTCAAAGTCAACCTACCACCGTCTCCGTGGCGAGTTCCGGTAATCGGAAACCTCCACCAGCTAAGCCTCCACCCTCACCGCTCCCTTCGTTCCCTCAGCCACCGCTACGGGCCACTCATGCTCCTTCATTTTGGGCGCGTCCCGATCCTCGTAGTCTCCTCCTCTGACGTAGCTCATGACCTCCTCAAAACATACGACCTTAAGGTTGCAAACCGACCGCAGTTAAAAGTGGTCAATAAACTTTTTAACGGTGGTCGAGAAGTGGCTTTTTCCCCTTACGGAGAATATTGGAGGCAGATGAAGGTATTTTTTTTGATAAGTCATTTTTTTTAATAGTTACATGATGTTGTTAATACACCATGAGTTTGATATTTACTTGGTGAAGAAAAAAAAAAAAGAAAAGAATTCAACTGTTTCATTATCCGAATTTTAATAATAGTGTTCACTTGGATGAATTAGAACTGTTTTTTTTTTTTTGCATTCATCTTAGTCAACGTTATTTCTGCGGTTTTTTATTACTTTTATCCCTTTAAAACATATGTACAGTTATTTTTTTGGTGTAGTAAATATTTGAGTCATATGATCCTTATAAATTGAAGCTATCATATGTTTAATAGACTGATGAAAATATCAAATCTGTTTTGTGAGGAAGAGTGTATGCATCATCCATCTACTCAATAAAAAAATGGTACAGTCTTTTGAAAAAGTAAGAGAAGAAGAGATAAGTGTAATGATGGAGAGGGTGGAGAAAGCAAGTTCCGATTCTTCACCACTAAATCTAAGCGAGCTTCTTATAACACTTACAAGCGATGTGACAAGTAGAGTTTCTTTTGGAAGAAAACATAGCAACGAGGAAAGCATGAGCGATTTCAAGAACCAAGTGAGGAAAATCATGGAGCTGGTAGGCGAATATCCTGTTAGCGAATATATCCCATGTTTGGCGTGGATCGATAAAATACGTGGTCTGGATGATAAAACGGAAGAAGTGAGTAAAAATTTTGGAGATCTTATGGACAAAGTGGTGCAAGAGCATTTAGATTCCAAAGATAAACCAACAATGGATTTTGTCGATATATTGCTATCCTTCGAAAGACAGAATAAAGATGGAATAGAAATTCGACGAAGCGACATTAAGTTCATAATCTTGGTAAGATCATATTTATATAAGCCTTGAGTTAGGAATAGCTTTCTGTTTTTGGTTGATCATATATAAGCCTTGATCCAAGGAATTTTTTCGTTCTCCAGGATATGTTTTTAGGAGGAACGGCGACAACTTACGCACTATTAGAATGGACAATGACGGAGCTTATTAGACATCCGGAATGCATGAAGAAACTCCAAGACGAGATTTGCGGTGACGAAACAAAGCTTAACATATATAGATCACAAGAAGAAGTTGAAGATATGAAGTACTTAAAAGCGGTTATAAAGGAGGGGCTTCGGTTGCATCTCCCTTTTCCATTACTAGTTCCAAGGCTACTGACTGAAGATGTCAAATTAAAAGGATATGACATAGCTGCAGGCACACAGGTGATGTTTTTTTTAAAAAAAATTGTGACGTAACCATAAGTTATAAATACGCATATCTAAAAGTCTACTATAGGTAATAATCAATGCTTGGGCTATTCAACGAGACACTGTGACATGGGGGATGGATGCAGAAGAGTTTAGGCCAGAGAGGCACTTAGATTCACCTTTGGACTTTCGGGGAACTAATTTCGAATACATTCCATTTGGATCTGGAAGAAGGATTTGTCCTGGAATCGGATTTGCAATGGCTTTGGTTGAGGTGACACTAGCCAACCTTGTGAACCGATTTAACTGGAGAATGGATGTTCGGTTTTCAGGGGATGAATATGATCTAGCTGAAGCACCGGGAATCGATGTTTGCCGCAAATTTCCTCTTATTGTCTTTCCATCTAATGCTTAATCTAGTCCCCATGTTGTCATGATGCAGCTTCAAATGGATTTTCTCTTATGTAATTGAATAAGTGTTGTAAGGTTGATTAGCTGTTGATTATCGAATAAACGAAATCTAGCTAGAACTTCCAAGTTTTTTTTTTATAACTATTTTAAAACTCTCAAAATCATCTATCTTTGACCATCCTTTTAATTACCATGTCTTTTTAGTCCGCATTTTGTATAGGCCTTGACATATGTGGCGGGCACACTCCATTCTAAGTGCTAACCACTGCAAGTGGCTCGATGCAAAGAACATTGCTTCGTCCAAAATATCCTCCGTGGCCGTACCCAATTGTGCGGCTTTCATAGAAACTAAGCAAAAGTTTGACATCTTCTATAAGACATTCCTTAATTTCCTCTCCTTCCCTTTAAATCTCCTAAACACATCGGTTCAAAAATGGACCATGTTGTTTAGTAGGTTTACATACAATCATTTAATCTGTTTAATCTGCTATGAGCTACGTTGCGAGGACTTTTTCCCTAGCTGGTTTTTGGGTCAATGGGCCATGAGATCTGACTAATTTGTGAGGCTAGGGGACATATGAAAACCCCCAACACCCACACATTTGGGGTAGTTTCTAGGGTGGATCTAATATGGGGTAGCTTATTACAACCTTCCCTAGTCTCACTACCACTAGACCATGCCCGTGTGGGAGTCGATATACATTTTTGATATCCATCTACGGCTTAATCTAGTCCCGCCATGTTACCATGATGCAGCGAGATCTTCAAATGGGCTTTCTCTTATGTTTTTTAATAATTGTTGGGTTAAATGTTTTAACTTGGGTTTTATCTTCTTTTCAGATTAGGGTTTTCATTTCTAGTTTCTTGTTAAGAAGCCTTGCGTTGTAAACTTGTAATGGCTAATGAGCGTTTGATTACTGAATAAAGAAAAATGTAAAACTTTAAAGTTCCATCTATTGGCTTAACACCGCATAAAACCATTAACAGAGAAAATAGCTAAATAAGAACCACGTGATGCTTATAAGTTATAACACATCGCTTGACATGTCATTTTCAAGATGTATCATTGGTCCAAACTTTTGACTTCTAAAAGTCCATAAAAGCTTTCTATAATTAGCAAGAAAATTTTACCCCGGAAAATGCTAAATACCATTGCTTCCGGAACACGTAACACCGCTCACTGCTTTCTGTTTCCTTTTTTGGTTCCTTACGCTATTTCTCTTCCACCATCAATGACAAAATATCTCAATCATTTTCCCCTTATCCTTCTCTCCTATCATCTTCCTCAGGTTTCCTTTGACTTTTCTCCTTAATCTCGTCGCGGTCTCTGTATTGTTTCTGAAATTCTTGTATGTTGTTTATATTTCAGATTAACTCTATACTGTGTTCTGAAGAATAGTATTTGAAATTTCTGCAATAATGGGATATATGGACTTGGCGTTATCGTATTCGAATCAAATGCGGATTGTTGAAGCTCCCGCAAGCGGAGGTGGTCTCAGGTTACTTGCCTCTCTACTTGATTGAAACTATCTATCTACATGATTGAATATTTTTAATGCTTTTGAAATTTAGGGTTCAGGATTTATCAGTTTTGTGTCTATTTGTTTTGATCTTGCGTGGTTCTCTGTGTTTGATCTAGTTTAGGTTACTTGAATGACAAGCCATCTAGAACTTGTTCCATGATATCTATTTTTTTCGCTAGCTACAATGTTTGATTCGTCTCAAGATTGATTCGATTTTTCGTTTTCCTTAACATGAACTTATCAGTCACAATGTTCATGATTTTTCTTAACTGCAGTCAGAATGGAAAATTCAGCTATGGATATGCAAGCTCAGCTGGGAAGAGATCATCTATGGAAGACTTTTTTGAGACGAGGATCGATGGTATTGATGGAGAAATCGTCGGTCTATTTGGAGTCTTTGATGGTATTATTGGTCCCTTTCTTAACAAGAATTTATACATTATGTCTCAATGACAATATTATGATTAGGTTTGCTTATAAGAAAGAGCAAAGTATTAATCTTTTCTTACTATTTTTGCAGGACATGGTGGAGCAAGAGCAGCTGAGTATGTGAAGCGTCATCTTTTCAGCAATCTTATTACTCATCCTAAGTTCATCTCTGATACCAAATCTGCAATAGGTTAGTTCCAGTTTCTTTTGGTTTGAACTTACTATTATTGTTGAATCGGACTTTTCTAAATCTTGGGATCATATTTGCTTTGTATTTTTGTCCAGCTGATGCATATACTCATACAGACTCTGAACTTCTCAAGTCAGAAAATAGTCACACTAGAGATGCTGGTTCTACTGCTTCCACAGCTATTCTTGTTGGTGATCGTTTACTTGTTGCTAATGTTGGTGATTCCAGAGCTGTTATATGTCGAGGCGGAAATGGTATTTTATTGAGATTTTTGATAAGTCATCATGACTCTTGGTACTATCTCTTGATATCTTCTGAAATGAATTTATGTGCTCTTGTAGCCTTTGCTGTGTCAAGAGACCATAAACCTGACCAAAGTGATGAACGTGAACGGATTGAGAATGCTGGTGGTTTTGTGATGTGGGCAGGTAACAAGAAACTGTAGATTTTTTAATCCGCTTTTTGCGCATATTTCTAAATATCTACATTGAATAGGGACTTGGAGAGTTGGAGGAGTTCTTGCAGTTTCTCGCGCCTTTGGTGATCGATTGCTGAAACAGTATGTTGTTGCTGATCCAGAAATTCAGGTATGTAATATACCTTCACTTACATATGTACTCTATCTACCACATACATGTACTTATGTTTTAAGGTCATGTCTTGAACTTCAGGAAGAGAAGATTGATGATTCTCTTGAATTTCTGATTCTTGCTAGCGATGGACTATGGGATGTTTTCTCCAATGAGGTTTGTGAATTAAGTTTTTCGTCTCTATAAGATGACGAACAAAGTTCATCAATTCCCATTCCACATAAGTCTCAATGATCTGCGATCTTTATGGTGTTTTCAGGAAGCGGTTGCAGTGGTGAAAGAAGTTGAAGATCCGGAAGAGTCCACCAAGAAACTTGTGGGCGAAGCAATTCGGAGAGGAAGTGCAGACAATATTACATGTGTAGTCGTACGTTTCTTGGAGAGCAAGACTGCTAACAACAATGGTTCCAGCTCATCCGAGGAAGCAAATCAAGTTCAAACCGCTGTTAGAAATGACTCAGACCACAAGAACTTAACCAAAGAAACCAATCAAGACCATATTGCAGTACACAGAGACTTGGACTGCAGCAACGCTGACAATGAAAACCTGAACCAAAAGCCAATCGCGGTTACAGCAGCAGGACGCAGCGTTTCTTCAGAACAGAGTGGTTTAGCCGAGGAAAAGAATCAAATGCCAATCGCAATTCGCAGCGGCTCAGATCTCAAGAGCTCATCAACCAAGGTACCTAATCAAGGGAAAATCACAGTACACAACGATTCCGACAGTAGCATTGCGAATCAGAAGCCGGTAGCAGCAACACACACCTCTTCCTTAGAACAGAGCGGATCAACCAGTGAAAAGAATCGAAAATCAATCCAAGTTCATAGCGATTCCCCCGCAAGCAGGACAAGTAGTAGCACTCCCTCTATCTTTAACTGAAACGTCCACTGACTTCAGAATGATCTTCATTTAACTTTGAACTGTCCAAAGATTTTGCCTCAGACTAATTTGTGTCGTATATATAAGTTTCTTTTCTTTGCCATCCTTTGTTCCTAAGGTCTTAACTTCAATAATGTAATTCTTCTTTTGAGGTGTACTAATAAACTTGTAAATTTTTTAATTTATTGACTCTAAATGGTCAACAAATGTGATTAAAATATCCATCACAAAACCTAAATCGTCATTGATGCACACATAAACAAAACATAATTCAAAATCACATGATATATACAAACACAGGTTACTTATAAACACCACCACTCACTTCTCTTCCTCTCGCCCACAACTAATTAAAAAACTCATCAACAAAAACAAACAACTCGTTTTAAATAAAAACGTTCGTTAAAACATTATTACTAAAACAAACACCAAACCAACTTCCATATTTAGAGTCTCTCTCTTTCTCTCTCGATATCTAAAACGTAGGTACAAGTCCGAACCCACTAAAGATACCACCATGACCAACCACATCACTGCTCTCACTTGTATCCGTCCGCTTCGCAAACCGTCCCTTGATTCTCGGTCTCATTTCCGCATAAGCTTTCCTTGAAGCATACCTTATCGTCTTCTCAAACTTCCTGTTCTTCCTCTTCTCTCTGTACCTCATCACCCTCGCTTCTCTCTCAGCTGAAGTCAGCGGAACAGCCCGCTGGCTCCCGGGATCTGCTCCACTGGTTGCAGGACCACCGTAAGGATACGAAACATCGGCCACAGAGCCACCATCTGGCACCACTCCCACTTCCATCGACGATGATGAGACCTGCAATAACCAACCAACCATTAGATCAAAAACAACTCTTTGACTAGCCATTAAAAATAAGTGACAAATACTATAGTTTAAAAGTCAATACATACTTAGAACTTAACTTATATGACTACATAATTAAATTGAGGATTACTATTATATGATTAGAGTAGCTTATGCATGTTGCTCGCCTGAAACTATTTCTTCCGATTAAATTAATAATTTTAGATGAAACTTTAAGTCACTCAATACCACAAAGATCTAAACTTTGATTAAACAAAACAGACAAAAATTATTTGATTAGTATATAATTAGATTATCATGGTATTTCTTCTAAGTACAGATTAATTTACACTTGTTACTCTCCTATAACCCTAAATTTTAGTCACACAATCATTAGTTCCTATTAAATTAATAATTTAGCTCTCATCAAAGTCTAAACCCTAAAGATTTTTTTGGATAAATAATTGTTTTATCAACAGAATCAATTAAATTAATCGCTATGGTTAATCTAATTAATTAAGAAGCTTACGCTGTGACTGATGCAATTGTAACCACCATAAGCAAAACCTTTAGATCCTCCGGTAAAATCCATTTCATAGCAATTCTCGTTCACCGTCGGAACCCTAACCGTCCGATTCTCCACCGGAACAACACCATCAGTCCCGGAGCTATTCTGCTCCAACGATTCCACTTTCGGATCAACACTTCCGTAATCCAGATCCAGATACGGATCCGGATCCGAGAACAAATACTGTTGACCCGTGTTCATCTCCGGGCTATCTCCCGGAACTTCCTCAGCTGCAGTAACAGCAACCATCCCCGCCGTCGCCGTCGTCGTAGTCTTCGGATTCGGAAGCAGCCACGAAGCAGCTTCTTCCTCCTCTTCTTCACGGCTTCCGTTACCATCTATATCGGATAAGTAACAGTCGTCAAGGAAATTAACGGCAGTATGTTTAACGGAACCGTCACTAGAGACGGAATCGTAAAACGGAGTAACGGGAACGCGTTCGTGACGGCGAGCTAACGGATTAGCAGAGTGAATATCACGGTCGCACGTGACACATAACGCGGCCGCGTCTGCTTTGCACGTGACGTGTGCCGGTGCTTGCTCGCACACTTCACACATCCACACGCGCGCGTGTCGTGACGCGAGTTTGTTCGCCGCGTGGACTTTTGAATCGCAGCTTAAGCAGAGAAACGCTGCGTCTGGTCGGCAGTATAACGCCGCCGTCGCCGATTTGCACGAATCGCAGAGCTTAGACGCCATTTTTCTCTCTCTAAGTTTCAGGGTCTCTCTCTCTTTCTCTTTCTTTTGTGGTTGGTGTTACTATGGCTTCACATGAGCGTGTCAATGAGTCTATCCATGTGGGGTCCATGGGTATCCATCTAGATCGAATGAAATGTTGACACGTGGTGAAATCTTAGCCAAACAACGTAATTTTATTGTATTGAGATGAAATTACTTGGCATTATAGTTGTGAGTATATGCATAAAAATGAGTTTTGTAATCATGCTTTTTGGTTTATTGATACTTGGATTCATGATTCTGGATCGTCGACATTTGGCAACAGGTGTTTTATTTTAGCAAATAATGCGTAGCAAAATTTTCTATGATTTATAAGCTGTCACAGAAAGTGGTTCTTTTGCAAAATTGGAAAATGGTGAAGAAGTATGGGTAGATGAGTTCTAGGACCACCACCACCACGAGGAGCAAACTTAAATGGAGACGAGACTGTGACTGAGGAGGATAAAGTAAATGGCCGGTGGGTATGTCGGTAACTAGTGGGCTGAATATGGGCTTTTGTGGACCATGGGTACTAGTTATTACTGATATATTCCGCATGTTTTTTGTTGTTCCCAATTTGCTTATTTCAGCCCAGTAAAATTATTTTCTCAGTTTGCTTAAGTCACAAAACCACTATCAACAAACTCACTGGGTTCACAGAAAATTATTTCTTTTATATCAACAAAGAAATCAACGCGCCGTAAATATTCATCAAAATTACCTCTTCAGAATTAGATGGTTAATTGTGCTTGTAAACTATTCCACACATAACTCATGGATAAGACCTTATAATTTTTTATTATTTTATTATATAAAGCTTGGTTTTCAAATTAGTAACTAGCATAATCGTGCATGTGTCATAATCAGATTTTTACATGTATAAAAAATATGTAAGATCAGTATATGCTTCTTTTTTTTACTAATATTTTAATTTAATTTTAGTATTTTAAATTATTTATTTGAATTTTTATTTTATTTTTGGATTATCTAAGACTCATATCATTATGTTTATAATTTTTTATTTTTTCTTTTAATTATGTTGAATCAAAAAAAATTTTAATTTTTAAATTTTATTGGTTGGCCAGAACCAGCATAACACAATACATATGAAAAAAAAATTGAGATAACTAAGAATACAAAATGAAGTTTCTTAAAAACCGTAGTGGACAACTTGATTTTTGCAAAGAAGAAGAGTCATCCAGGCCATGGGACATATAACGACGGCCTTTTGTAGTCGAGTGGGTGTACGAGAGCACCAATCTAGAGATAGAAGACCCTTGTGTTAGTTTTAAAGTTCAAACATAAGTCATAATGCACAAATATCCAATATGAAAATTGTATAGACTTCAGTCACCTTTAAACTCAAAACAACAGTTGTCTACAATAAGTCCACATCCAAATTATTGAATTCTCATTATAGATATTATTCACTTACTTAATGTTACTTTGTTACTTCTAAAGGTGCATGTAATCTAACTTGTATTGGAAAAATGCAACACCAGCAATGTTTGGATGCTTACAGTTTTCTACTTAGAACCCAACCTTCAACAATCTATGCGTCCATAATGATATCGGTTTATTAATGGGAATTTTGTGATTTCTTGCAAATTGTTGAAAGTCCATCTTCATTGAGGTTGAGAAATTGTGCCCAAAGTATTCAATAATCTTGTGGCGACAATGATCAAGGTGTTGAACACATGATATTTGGTCTTCTTGTAGCTTCTAATATCATGGATGTGGTGAGACAAAGTAATGTTGACCCAAAGACGATGATGGATGAAATGAAGAAAATAGAGGTTGCTTCCATGCAACCAAATTATCTGGCACTGAACATGTACAAAACTTTTCTGTGGCAAGAGTAGTCATTATTGATCTTGCTATCAGGAGAGAAAAGGAGATAAGTATAGTTGAACATGTTTTTTTTTTAAATAACAAAAATAATTATGTATTAGTTAGACATCCGGGTGTTTGAAAAATTGTTCTTGTCTATATACATAAAGACTTTTAAATGTGTTAACAAATAAAATAAGGACTTTTCAATGTTCAAGTTAAGTTAGATCCTTTAACAAAACGTTACTCTCTTTTTTCTTTTTTTTTGTTACTTTCTCTATTTATTTTAAGGTGAATTAGGTGAATAACCATTCTACATAAAGTTATTAAATATATAGCACTATAATGAGGGAAATGAAGAAAGTAACACAAGTGGAGGATAAAAAGTCGAAAAACTCCTTTCTATTTTGTAAGGCATTAAGACGCATGTGTGATGAAAGGAGAGTAACATACATGTGACTGCATTTGGAACGAATGATTTCGTTTCAGTTTGTGGACGTAAGCATAAGAAGGAGAAACGTGGATTGATGTAGTGATGGTGGTGATAATAACAATGGCGGTGATTGTATTGGTATGACGGCAAAGGCGACGATGGTCCTTCACACACGTTTAAGTTTGGAAACAAGCGTGTAAGGAGAGAACAGTGTGGGCTGGCGCAGTGGTGGTGGTAATACTGATGATGGCGTTGGTGGTGCTTGTCGGGGCGGTGGTGGTGGCGACTTCAACTCCATTAGGTTCATCATCGTCTATTTATCTTCAATGCTAATTTGAACGTAATGAGATGAGAAGAAACACTCAATTCCAGAATCACAAACTTTCATCTTCTAGTTAACATCAAATAATGGAGAATCAACAAGTAGAATAGTAAATTTCAGTTTAGGAAAAATAGTATACTATTTACATAAAGTCTACACTATTTGTAATCAATTAATGAGAAATTCATTAGCAGGATGACTCAAAATCAACAAAGATTCCAATTTTTACGGCGAGCTCCGAATGAGGGATTTGATGTTGCAGCGGAGGAGAAAGGCGAAGACGAGTGGTGTAAGGCTTCCGCATAGCAGAGCCAACGAAGAAGAAGAAAAAGATATTTGAAGTAACCCTAGTTAGATTGAATCAAAAAAATTTGGGTTCAATGTAATCGAAATCAGTTGAATCAGAGTTAACAAAATCCATAAACTAGGGAACTCTGAAATGTTATAAAGATCATTGAAACAATATCGGTCATTCATTCGCCTGCCCAAAACCCAATTCACGTTTATACAATTACCAACAACTTTTCAATTTGAATAAGATAGATTCTGGTTTAGGCGCTGAAGTAGATGAGTCAAATGGCAGTCCTCATGGCGCTTGTGAAAGGGAGAGAAAATGGAGGAGGCAGAGAGAGAGGAAGAAAATAAAGAAATGACAGAGAGGCGGAGAAATGAAGAAGGAAGAGACGAAGATGCTTTGGGGGTAATTGTGTCTTTAATACATATTATACACACATTATATCATAAGAATTTTTTTTTTGGTTAGTTTCTTAAATATTGGTTTTTTTGTTGGTTATATTTGCCAATTTCTCTTTATTTTATTTGATATTTCAGGTTTTTGCGCACCAAATAAAGAATCATTTAATTATTTTATTCTAAACTAAAACATTATTTATTATCTACTTGATTCAATCAATAATAAAACAAACCGTAGAATATAAGTTGTAAAACCAAAAAAATAACTAAAATAATTTTGCATTGATCATTAAAATCATTATCTAATTTTAGTTTAAACAATTATTTTCTCCTAAACATTTAAAAATAAAATGGAGAGAGTATTATCGAAGTTAATGGATACGATCATACGAATCTAGCCATGGAACATTTCTCATTTCTAACGAGCTTTTGAGCGATGGAACACACATTTGACATTACCTACAAAACTCATCATTAGATAAAAGAAAAAAGGAAAATAACAATATTGAAACGGTCATAATCATATATCATGAAAAATGTGTAAGTGTATTGATTAGTGAAAGTTTGATTCAAATGAGCGTTGCATTAATTATGATGTAGGCAGAGTCGCATCGCCGCGTCAGGTAGTTGCAGCAGATAGACCAAACTCATACAACTGTTCCAAAGTCAAAAACATATTGAAACTCTTCGAAGCCAATCTTTGAACTGACACATGTTCATATTATGACGTCATTCTCAAAGTGCTTTTTTTTTTCCGCCAACCGATAAAAGCATGCCGGTGGCAAAAACCATGGGAGTCGAGTCATCATCAATAAATATGAGTTACGAGGAAAACTATGAAGTAAATTCAATAAACCGATCGTATCGTACTTGCTCTTGTACTATTCTTAGGGTATGACGGTTAACATCTTATAGAAAAAAAATACTCCCTCCGTTTCGTTTTAGTTATTGTTTAAGGTTTTCTCACACAAATTAAGAAAAACATTAAATTTTCTGTTTCACTTTTATTAATATATCTTATAAATTTTTTCATTGGCCAAAACATTAAAACAATAGGGATAATATTAAAATTTTTACCAAACATTTGCATTGAAAACCTAGAACGACAATTATTACGAAACAAAAAGTCCTAAAACGACAACTAAAACGAAATGGATGGAGTAAAAACTATTTTCTTCTAAAAGTTAACCAGTCAAATAAAACTTAAAAGAATTGTTTTTTTTTCTAATTCATCTCAAAAATAACATAAAAAGGGTTAAAACTTCCTAATACAAGTATATGGTAGAAATAATTCTTTTACGTTTTGATTTTCTTTTTTTTTAACTTTTTTCTTCTCTTTTCTTCTAAATTTTACCAGTCACACCCTTAAACTAGCTGACTTGAAAGATACGAAAATCAGTTCTAACAAAGTTTAAACATTGCATAAATTTATATAAACAAATTAAAGGAGTGGATTTTTTTATTTCGGATTAAAAAGAGGCAAATGATTGAGTTAGAATTATGATTACTTTTACAAAAAAATTTTGACATGATGGTAAATAAAATGTTACTTGTCTAGGTTTAACAAAAAAAATAGTTGTATCATGTAAAATAAAATGTCGTCAGGTAAAATAATATTTTACTTTTATAAAACATGTGTAAAATTACGCAATTTTTTTCAAAATACACTTGAAATTAACATTCATTTATTACAACTTTACTATCACGAAATATTTTAGTTTTTTTTTTTTAACTCGGGTCACGTCTTCACATTAAAACAAACAAAAAAAAACTCGGGGCACGCAGATTAATTCTTAATTTTAAGTCCAATAAAAATCAAGTATTTTTACCATCAAAGACATCTTCAATAGACATCATCAATCTCTGGCCTCGACCAAAAATATGATCATCTAACCTAGAGTGGTAGCCACTCGGCTATGAAAATGTTGTTAAATTAACTTCTTAGCTTCTACAAATAAAATATAGAATTTGGCTATATCAGGTGCATATACCCTTAAAACTAAATTGGAATAATGATCAAAACAATGATAACTTCAATTTAGCAAAATATATTCATATACCAACATTTATACATAGAACCCCGAAACTTTGTCAACTTTTTTGGTTCACATTTACTACTCTAATGAAGATTTACAATCTCAAGGTCGATTAAAACAGAGGAAAACTACTTCCCCAACAAACAAACAAACAAACCGACAAAAACAGAGAATCCAAGAACCAAAAAACAAAAAAGTACACTCTTGAGAACAGAGCTCATAGGTTTTCTTCTGTTTCTGTAGATTCCCCATTTTGCCCTACTTTCTTCTCCATATTTACACAATCCAGGCAAATCTTGGCGGCGACCGGAGTGGCCAAGAAGGTAGGGTTGTTTTGTCCAGCCATGATCACAAGAATCTTCTCCTCAAAAACCTTAGCCACCACTTTCTCACCGGACTCCGTCTGTTTCTCTTCGTCTTCTGTCCCCCGCGAGAGCTTCAAGTAGGAGCAAGCGAGCAACAAGAGAGCAAAGGCTATGAGTCCAAGCATGGCGGCTAAACCACCGAATAGGTAAGGAACCGGTGTATGCCACGGAGACCGTGTCTGAGACTCCACCATTCTTGTCATCATCTTCTCATCTATGTTTCCTCTTATGCTTGGAAATTGCCTCATTGTTTTTGTTTTTCTTGGGTTTGTTAAAGAACAGAGTAGAAGAAGCTTGAAAATTGTGAAGCTTATACTTTGATTTGTTTTTTTTTTTGTGAAGCTAGTTTGATTTTCTTAAGAGTGTTTGAGTTTATTTATAGTACTGGCAGAGAACAATAGAGAGAGATGTTGTAAATATTTCACAGTGTTATTTCTGTTCCTTTTTATTATTATTATAAAACAAATTTGAAGGTAAGTGTGTCACGGAATCTCCATGATCCGTTACATTGCTTTGATCATGCACCTTGATTTTCATAATGTTTCGAAGATATTTAATAATGTTTTCACTACAAGAAATATTAGCATTGATAGCACATGACGATAGCGCATTTTTCGTCACTGCTATTAAAGATGGTACTCAAAGTTCGGTAACTATATCATAGCATTTCAAAAATGCTAAGACTAACAATAGCAGAATGAAAAACTAAAATCACTTTGAACCGGCGCACTTAGCAAAATTTTTACTTTTAGCGCTCCACCAAATTAAAAAAAAAATCCATTTGTTGCCAAACAAAACCTAATTTTTCTCATATTTGCCTCATTATCTTCTCCTCATACCTCTTCGTTCTCTTCGAGACCTTTAATTTTTTATAAAGTAACGCTCTCTCATTTTTTTTTTGTCTCACCTTCAACCCTAAATCCCCTTTCTCCATCTCCAAATAAACAACAGATCTAAAAAAAAACACAGATCTTCCACTTATCCATCCATACTTTGAAGATCCTCTTCTCCTCATCGTCTTTCTCCATCTCCAAATTGTCGCCGCGTCATCAATCTTCCATATCTGAGAACGACCGATGGTACTAGATCCGCCGGGGGTCAAAATTTCTCCGATTTGGTCTGGTTCGAGCTCAAGTATCCTTCATCCTGAATCGGGTCCGTTGGTTTCTCCATCTATAGACTTGGCTGGTTTGTTGTGGTTCGAGCTATGGCGAAGTCTCAAACAGATCAGAGCCATAAGGTTACTTTTCTGCAATTTCAAATTCATGATTCAATTTCAATTAGAAATTAATTTTTTGTTTGTCTTTTTTTGGATAGAGAGGGAGAAAGAAAGAGTCTTGGTTTGATGAATCCTCTAAAAAAAATTCGTTTCCAAATCCTTCTTCTTCGTCATCTCCGTGGGCATTTGCGTTCCACATTTTTTCTTGTTAGTTCTTCATGTCTAGCTTCTTGTTCTTCTTCGTATTCGTGAGTCTCTTTCAAATCTCTCTATCATTATCAGTTTTCAACTTCTGGGTTTAGGTAACTTCTTCATCATTAAAATGTTGTTTCATGATAATAAAAAGTCAAGTCCGAGTTCGTTTCTATCTCTAGTTATAATCGTTACTGATGTGAAAGTTTCTTATACTCATATGAGTTACAGCTTACTGTGAATTTGTGATGGTGAAGAGACTTGAAGGTGCTAAAACGGTGATGACGAGTGAAGAAGCGAGTGATGGTAGATGTATCAAAGATTGTCGCCAAAGCAAGAAGCTGCTTGTTCGCATCAAGCAAACTCAAGTAAGTTTTTAGTTTAGAATGGAATATAAATGTAATTGATAATTTCATTGCTTCGACGCTTTTGTTTTGATAACATTTCCCGTAGGTGATTGATTCATCTAAGATATATCTTCTTATAATTGATGGGGTTGAGAATGATGACGAGTCTAACGGGCAAAAAGAGTTTTATCATGACCAGGTGAGATTTTCTAATTTACCATGCTCGAGTCTTCTGAATCGTAATGTTCATTGAGAATGATGACGATTCTAATGGGCAAGAAGAGTATGTGATATCATTGAAGGAAAGGTATGTGAATCAACTGACTCTATCATCAGTATCTTGAAATGTTGGTGATGGTTATGACTAACATTTCTCTCTTTCTTTAATTGGAGCGTCATCTTGTGCTTGGTGTGATTTCTCAAATCATCAAGGTGAGGCTATAATGCTGCTACTGCTATTTGTTTTTGGTAATGGTGAATGTGTAAATAATCTTTATTATTGTTGTTCTGTCTAGATACAGTTGCTAGCAGACTTAAACTTGAAGAAAACTCCCAGCTGGTGGAGTTGGTTGCTGATAGCAATATAAAATTACTCACTCATAGTGAAAATTTTGACTTTGTTTTGAGCACAAGGTACGACTGTTTTTTGCTTCTTTAATGTCCAATTTATTATACATGATGGGAATAATCTCTATGATTTCATTTACTTTGAGAATGTTGCTTATGCCCATGTTTGTGTTGAGCTTGCTCTAGCTTTAGGAGGATATGTTTCAACAAAAGCTGCAGGACATGCCTTAGTATTCTAAAGTGGAGTTTTGTCTCAGTTTCACAAAACTGTAGATAGCATATTTTTTTGAA